CGGCGGCCGACACGTGTTAGTAAGCAGTGAGAGCAGACAGACACTTTCATTCAATGTCATTCATGGTTTCCCTCATAAATCGGTCTTTCTGTCTGCCTCACTCACTGCAGCGTCGAAGGCACAGCCATTGGTGTCGCCTCTGCTGCACAAGCCGCCGCCACACGTCCGCGGCAAATCGGTCGTGACCCGCTCATCTTCGTCTGGACGTTTGTGTGGCTGGCCCTCACTCTCAAGTGGTACGCACCCACCGGCAGCTACGCTCTGTGGGCGTGGCTGGCCTTCCGCCTCTCATACGGCGCCGTCACGGCCTATCTCGGATACACTGGTGTGTTCCGCCGCAACACCAAGTATCTGCTGCCCACCTTTGTGGCGCTGGCTGGCGTGTTTGTCGACGTGGCTGGGGTGCTGCTGCCGGGCCGGCTGCAAGATGAAGTTGCGGTGAGTGCGGCTGGGGGTGAGGGAGGGTAGAGGGGCCGAGTGGACAATCCAGGCAATGAGGGCTCATCTCTCTGTGTGTGTGTGTGTGTGTGTGTGTGTGCTGCAGGCCATGTTGAGCGCCATCCCGCTGCCATGGCTCTTGGCTGTGCAGTATCCCCGTCTGCTGGCATTCGTCACCTTCATCAAGGTGTGCAAGAACACACACACACGAGAGCGAACGAACGAAGATGCATTCATGTTGTCTGTCTGTCTGTGTGTTGGTATGTTTGTGTCCCTGGTCTGGCTGTGCTGTGTGTCAGTGGTACAATGGCACGTTCCCCACTGGCTGGGCCTGGGGGGTCGGCCTCGCCGACTTCATCTACGCCGTGCCGATGGCCGTGGTCCATGTGCTGCTCACACAGGGCTACACTGTGTCCAACGACACGCTGCTGCTGGTGTCCATTCCTGGCATCCTCGTCGCTCCATTTGCTGTGGTGGTGAGGCCGGGAAGGGCTCGCTGGGCGCGGCGCATGGCATCGACCTGTTGTTCGTTCTGCCTCTCGGTGTGTGTGTTGTCAGTTCATGTACGTCTACCTGCCGTCCCCCTGGGGCATCTGGTACACGGCTGGCAAGTCCCCCGACACACGAGAAGTGCTGTCGTGGCCCATGGTGCTCATGCCCTCCCACGCCATCCCCTTCTTGGTCGAAATTCAAGTGTTCACGCTCATTAAGGCTCTAGTGGGCTTCTATTAGAAGCGCTCAGCGAGAAGCGCTCAGCGAGTCGACGCCGTTGCGGCTGTTAATACTTTCCTGTGCCTGCGTCTTTGAAGTGGCTGTGTGTTGGCTTGGGCTTTGTGAGCGGATGGACTGGTTGTCGATAGTGAGGGAGAGTGGGACTGTCTGATGTCGATGTGGCTGCTTGATCATCGACAGCTGAATGACTTGTCTGTCTGCTCGAACCAATACACACACACAGCCCAAAGCGCATCGACGATACACAGCCTATGAAAAGTTACGGAAAATAAAATCAGCAGCGCACGGACATGCACACACCATCGACTCACGGCTGTCGATCGATCAAGGAACACACAAAAAATGCATTGCAGTCTGGGAAATCACACGCAGAGACAGAAACCACAGACACTCATTAGCCTCTTCCACACACCAAGAGAGAGGAGTGGGATCACACACAAGGCACAGCACAGCACAGGAAAGCACCGAACATACGATAAAATAGAATACACACGATGTGTCTGTCTGTCTGTCTGCTCTGCTGTTCCCTCCCTCCCTCCCTCATTCATACGTTGGCGAGATCACCGCCGTCTTGTGGATTGCTCACATTCCCCACCACAGCTGCTGCCGGAGGCCCGTGGGACACGACGGGGGCAGGCAGAGACACCGGGGCGGCCGCACCGGCTGCTTGGCGCTGCCTCTTGACCCTCCGCCTCTCCACGCACTTGACGACGACATCGAAAAGCAACAGTAGCACCAGAGGGACGAAATTGACGGATGAGGCGGCAAGCATGAGATAGGGGCCCACACCAACCTCACACGGCGCTGCGTGCATGTCGCCCGTCACGGCGTTGAAGCACCAGTTGACGTTGGTCAGGTGTGTCCACACGAAGAAGGCAACAAAGGGAAACCCATAGCTTGCCGTCAACAAGACAGCGGTGATGCGGTATAGGATGGTGCGGCAACCGGCTGTCGGCTCACCCTGCAAGCCAAAGAAAGGGACTGCGAAGGATAGTCCGATGAGAAGGGGCCAGGAGATCGTCGCGGCGAAGACAGCGATGCGCGCGATGTAGTTACGGCGCCATACAGCGGCCGCCTTGTCGTCGCCCCTCTGGATGCTCTTGTCAACAAGGAAGCCGTACGATGCCTCACACGCACAGGTGCTTCCCGAGTCGTAAGTCGTGTATGTGCACTTCTGGAATCGCACTCGTGTGTCGACGGTGTCGCGTGCGCACCGTCTGGCGTCGGCTCCATCCACCAGCTTCAGCCGGATCGTGTAGCTGTCGACAGCCGTGATGCTGTACATCTGCTCCATCTCCTCATAGAACTGTGGAGAGAGTGAGTGCGGGTGAGCGGCTTCGGCAGCATAATGTGTTGGGGAGCTCCGCCAGTCGGGCAAGCCGGCCAATGGGATTCCCAGGCCACATATGACAAACACCAACGCCCCGATGCCGGGCGCCCAGACCACAACCCAACGCCGTAAGCGCTCCCTCATCGCCTCTGTGACACGCAGGAGTCACACAAACTGACACGACAGCACACAGATCTGTTGTGTGTGTAATGGCGTGCCGCTCTGTGCTCGGTGCTGAGTGCGTTGAAGAAAGAAAGCCGCTTCATCAATGATACACAGCTCCTCCCTGCATACACCGACGACACAAGAGATCATGCAGATTATGTATGGCTGCTTTTATCGTCCCCCTCACTCTGCCCTTCTCACCTGGACGCTCTGCCTGTGTCCTTGCCACCCACTTCTCCTTTTCCGCATGCGAGCTTTGGATCGTTCGGTGTCTTGTCCAGGGGAAAACGTTCGTCAGATAGCTGTGCGTTGCGTGTGCGGTGCATTCGGCCGAGAAAACGGCGAGGCGAATCATTCGATTCATCGCAGCCTTCATCTCACTGTTGCAGTGGCCATGGGATGGCGGCCATTGAGCTGATTTTAGATATCGAGGAGCGCAGCCAACTGAAGGAGGCCGACAGCAAAGACACGAAGGGCACATCAGCTGCAGGTGAGATGATTGAATGGGTTCACTCATCTGCCGTCGTGACTTAATTGAATGCAGCCGTGTGTGTGTGGGTGTGTGAGTGATTCGTTCTTTCATGCCTTATCCAGCGGCACGTCCCATTGCAGAACCACTATCATTACACTGATGTGTGAGACCTCTGAAGAGGAGCAGAGCGATCACAGGAGCGCACTCTGAAGTCTGTTTTAACCTGAGAAAAAATCCGTTTCAGGTGATAACGAACTGTGGGGTGGGGTGCACAGCAGCAAGAGGGTATGCTGTGCATATCTATGCTGTTTGTCCATCAGTGAATGCATTCGTTGCGATGGATCGATCCGTCGTGTCCAATGCGCAAAGCTCCATGACAATTAATCACACACAAACACACACACTCACCGACACGCCCGTCATCGATCGAATCGATCGGGAAGATCCACCTATGTACCCAGCTAGTCGCACGCACACACACACATGGCACATGAATGGCCTGTGAGCGCTACAGATGCACCGTACAGACACAAAAGCTATTCAACACACTACGCAGGTGCGATTCAGCCACGCTGACAGACAGGCACGGAGACAACAAATGGCCAATGCGCCAATTGATTGCAGGTAGGTGTGGAGAGAAATGCGCTCTTTAGATAACAGCAAACACGGACACGCAGGCATGCGGAGAGAGACACACAAGTAAATAAACAGACACACACATACATACACGTGACGCTATAATGGTGCTGGCAATGAGCACGATTTGTCTTGGCTGCTCCAGCAACAGCCGCGAGATATACTGCAAGCAAGCATTCATTAGCTGATCAAGGAGAACTGTGTGTCATCTTGACTGACTGACCATTCTTGTGAGTCGATGCCCTTGTAGCCACATTCCTGCCTGTGTGTGTCGGACAGACACAGAGATAGACGCACATTCCATTCCGTGTGCCGTGCCCGGATGGATCAGGTGTCTCTTCACTCACTCACTAACCGCTTGTTGCCCTTGTCCTTCATGTGCTTGCACGTGTCTGCCGCATGGAAGCACCACGGCACACCCGCCTCGCCAGTCTCGTGCCAACACGCACCCTAACCAATCGACACACACACACACAGATGGACGCGGCAACCAATTGAGGAGTTGGTTGAGGAGCTTCCACGCCAGCCACACAAGCAAGTACTTACTTACCTGGCCGAGGCATTCATTCTTCTGTATGCCGTCCCACCCCGCATCCACCTGGCCCTTCCCCGAACCACACCGGCCGTCATCACTCGTGCGGGGCCGAAAACACCACGGCACGTCTCTCTTTGTGCTGCCATCCGGTGGTCTGAAGCAGCAGCCGAGTTGGTGGCACTGCTGTTGTGTGACGAAGGGCGTGTCGCTGGCGCAGTCCTGTCTGTGTGAGTCGTCCGAGTGGCTGGTGCACATGGCGCCCATGCTGGAGCACCACGGTGAGAGCAGCGGTGGGCTGCTGTGGCTCTTGGAAGTCTTGTGGTGCTTTGTGACGGCCTCGACGCGGTAGTATACACAGCTGTTGATCGGCGAGTGCCTACAACATGCACACAAACAGGTACACAGACGGGGGAGGGCGTGTGTGTGTGTGTGTGTGTGTTGGGGGGGGGGTCGGGGAGTGTTGGTTTGCACACTGCACTGTACCTTGTATCTGCGAGTTCGAGAGAGTGCTCGAAGTGTTTCTTGGCAATGGTGTCGATGAGGTCCATGTCGTCGGGGTCCACCCCCCCATAGACCTACACACACAGCCACAGACACAGCCATGCACCCCTGGCTAGAATGGATATGGATGCAGTTAGTCTCACCTTCCACTCCTTGATGTGTGTGGCGCCGTTCCAGCTGAAGTGCAGTGACGCCCTCTCGGCGTCCAACACCAGGTCTGGCAGCGACGACGGCGCACCCCACCAGTCGTACTTCATGGCGCGATACGCCATCCCTGCAGACACACACAGCGAGAGACAAAGAGAGAGAGAAAGACGCGCCTGTACAAGCCAGCCACATGGGTGGGTGCGTCGTGTTATATCGACCGGGGTTGATTGAGAGTTCCAGGACCTTCTCGCCCTTGCGTGTGACCTCAGTGTAGAAGGGGTGGCTGTCGGGCTCCACACCGGCGAAATTGACCACCATGTTGCCGTTATCCAGATACTGACAAACACACACACACACACACTGTCCTGTATGTATCTGTCTCTCTCTTTCTCTCTGTGTGTGGTCATCCATCCCAGATCCCTACGTCGAATCCCCCCATGGCGAGTCCGTATCTGTCAGGATCATGTCGGTATTCCCATTTCCTCTTGGCGACCAGCTTCTTCTCGTCAATCTCGTACTCCACTGCACGCGACCTGTGTGCACACACGCAACACAAGCGCCATACATACCCACACATCCGTCCGTCACAAATACATACACACACACCTACCATGGCGGGTCTCTGCCATTGCCGTTGTCGAACAGGGAGAGTCTGCCGTCCTCGTGCAGCCTGGAGTCGTGCTGCCACGAGGGGCCGGGATCCTTCCCATGGAACGTGAAGTCGCCGTCAGGACCACCTAGCTTCCACATGATGGCGCCCGTCTTTCTGTTGATTTTGATAACTTGTGAGAGGTGTCGGAGGGAGATCAGGACGTGGCCGTCGGGCGTCCAGCAGGCCGAGTTGACGCTGAGACAGACAGAGAGGGAGAGAGGGAGGGAAACAGGTGGGTAGCCGGGTGAGCAGGTGAGGTTTGTCTGTCTACTGTAGGTGGTCGAAGAATCCCCCGTCTGGTTTGTTCTGGGACTTCTCCAAGCCGCCGTGAAGGTGGTCCTGATGAGGGAATGCACGGACGGACGGGCACACAGGGCATGGCACAGACATGGCAGAGGGCACAAACCTTCACGCACGCATCCCTTCTCCTCCCCTCTCACCCACGAGTTCCACTGCCACACCAGGTTGTCCTTATCATCCAGCTCCTGCACACACCACACCCATTCCCTGCATCTGTATGTGCGTGCCTTCAGAGGGGGCGAGATAGCTAATAGCCCAGCCGACCTGTATGACGAATCCCATGACCTTGGTGTGTGGCGATCCCCCGCGCCACGTCATGTCCATGTTCTCACGGTAGTCGTACGCCAGCAGCAGCACCTGCACCGCACACAATACAGTGGAAGGAATGGATGCATGACACACACTGCACTCGTGTCGTGTGTGTGAGAGGTGGCTGACGTACATGGTCGTCTTTGCTCATCTGGAAGTCGTGGTCGTTTGTGATGTATCCGTTCTTGGGGAAGATGTGACGCACCTCCTCATACGAGTGGTCCAGCACAGACCAACCACCTTGACACACACACACATCCCTCCCTCCCTCCATCCATCCATCCCTCTGTGTGTGTGTGTGTGTGTGTGTATCGCAGAGAGGGAGAGGGAGAGGACACCCACCTCTGTCTGATACGTGTGAGAGCAGCCCGTTCTGCTGCATCTTGAAGTCTCGCGTCGACCAGCCGTGCCACTTCTCGTTGACGTGGGGGAAACGGTGGTACCTGCACACACACCAAGACACCCACACCACACACACCTCTCCATCGACGGTGGGTGCATCAGGTGTCTGTCTTTTGCTGACCAGACGGGCTCTCCATGCTCGTCGACGATAGACAGGTACTGATGCACCGATATCAGGGGGTCGCGCAACGGCGCGAAAATGATGACACTGCATGGCACGCACAGCGAGAGAAGCAAGCGCCTACGTAGGCACGGTCGGTCGCCATGCTCACCCACCCATCTGCTGTCTTGCCCTTGACGGGGGGCACGAGTACGTCGACAGCGGGGTAGTCGTCGGGCAGCGTCTTGTAGGCCTTGATGGCCCTCTTCTTGGCAGACGCTGTGGCGTTCTCCAGGAGAGACGACGAGTGAGCGGCTGGTATGGTAAATGGACAAGAGAATGATGAACAGACACATAGGCCCGGGTGCAGTGCGTGCAGCGTGACGCATGCACCTACTTACTTGGCCCTCGTCTGTCGTCATGGTGTGTGAACATCGACTCCCTCCAAAAAAAGGGCCGTATGTCGGTCTCGTCCTCCATCTCCTCTGCTGCTGCTGCCATCGTGACAGCCACACCTCTCCCTCCCGCGCCATTCCCACTGCCCAGGTGGGTCTCCATCATGTGCTCGATGTGCCGCCTTCTCTCGTTAGAGCTGGCGAAATCTCTCATGGCGCGGAAATAGTGCGCCGCTGTCCGTCTTGGCGCGATGGTGAACTGCCACCAGAAGCCGCCGAGCACCTCATCATGATGCTCCTCTCCGTCTTCTCTCCATGGGGTTGTCGCGAGAGTGATGCCCTCCGGCACAGACACAGTCACCCGCTCGCCAGGGACAAAGGCGCCATCAATGTCGAGCACAATCGTGAGGTTGTCGCGGCTGACGGCCATTGTGGCGTTCCTCGTCCCGCTGTCCTCTCCCTCTATCGCCACATGGACAGACTCGTTGACAACCTGTTGGTGCCTGTGCGCGTGATTATCGTTATGGTCGGGCCGCATGATAATGGAGGTGAACGGCGAGACGAAGGTTGCGTCTGGCAGGGGGTGGACGTAGGCGAAAGGGCCTGCGGCGGGGATGAGGGGGCTGCCGGGTGAGCACCGGAGGACGTCGCAGTCGACGTGGTGATCTTGGCTGCGGACAAGGGGCGGGATGAGGAGGGCTGTCATCGTCAAGAGCAGCGACCCTTCCCGAAGCTGTGGCATTCTCCCACGCTTTCAGAGGCTTTCTCTCGCATCGCCTGCTGGAGCCAACATTATTTCCTGTTATTTGTGATTTTGTTAGGGCACGAGTTTCGCAAAAAGATCCGACGACCCAAGCTCGTGTGCCGCACAGTCTCTCTCCCGGTTCGCTTCTCGTCATGGCGCTTCTCTCCCTGGCGGCTCTTTCTCTTCTGTGTTTGGTTTCCCTCGCCCCGGCTCAAGTGGCGCCGGTAGATGACGACGACGCTCCCGTACGGCCGCTCGTCTGGCGGGTACGCATGGATGCGCTCGAGAAAAAAGGACAACACATCTGCCGTTGGTGCAGCGTGATGCTCATTCTCGTGTCTGCCATGTGTTTCTTTCTGCGGTTGATGCGTTTGTAGGTGGAGGGTGAGGAGGGCGAGGCTGCTTATCTCGTCCCTACGCATGATTCCTTCTACAACGACTTTGAAGGCGAGGCTCTTTCCTTTGTGTCCGCACTGGTGGAGAGGGTCAGGCCCGACGCATGGATCACCGGCACCAACAACAGCTTCGCCGGCAGCGACCAAGAGGATTCGTCCACCCTCAGCGATCTATTGACCGAGCAGGACACGCTGATGGCCAACTTGCAAAACGATCCCGCCCTCCTCAAGCGTGTCAACGACTTCCATGACTTCGTGATCGAGCGCCTCGAACTTTGGTCAGCGGCGCATGGATCCAGCGCCGAGACCAATATTGTGGTCCTTCTAATGGTGGAAGCCTTCTTTCAAATGACGGTGGCGCATATGCCTCCCGCGATCTCTGCCCAGGCGCTGCACTCCATGTGGGCGAAGAGCGAGCGAGCGAGATAATCCTGGTTTGTCCTTACTGCCTTTCTGTGCTGTGCTGTGCGGTGCGTGCGCTGCAGGGTGCAATTGGGCCCCTTCGTTTCCACTGTCATGTCCTCTGAGGAAACCGAGGCTGTCGCGCTTGCCGAGTACGTGGCTACTCTCGCCGCTGAGGCGGGCGCCGGGACAGCACCGATAGCGACACCGCTCGAAGTGACGCAAATTCTCATTACTGAGGGTGCCTCCCACCTTCCAATTCGGGACCAGATGGTGTACTTCGACGCCGCACTGACGTTGATTGAGATCTATACCAAGAATCTGACGGCGCAGCCGCCGCGGATGCGGAACTTGAAGAACTCGCCGATTGCGTACGCGTGGCGGATGGGCGACGAGGAGACGATCCGCAAGCTCACGACCCTTGATGAATGTGGGATGGCATTCAATCCATTGATGTGGTTCCGCCACCTGCCGCCTGGGGCCGATGCGGTGCATAGCGAGTATTTCGACGAGTCGCTCATCGAGAAGCTGGAGTCCTTCTACGACACATGTCCCAGCGACATCGCGGCAGCTGTACGGGAGGCTCGCCAGAACGTCACGACGGTCGGCAACCGCTTGGCTGTGGACAGGATCCGCTACCTGTTCGACAACGGGGCGACTGACGATCCCTCGGTGACCGATCCATCGTGCCGGCCGCTGTGGGGCTTCGGCGTCAAAGTGGTGAGCGACGAGGAAGGTAGCACGCGACACCTCACCGGTTCCTTCGACTGTTCATTCACCGCACGTACCGATTGTCTCTCTGTGGCTTCACAGGATGGCCTCGTCGGTGAGCTTGGGGTGACCGCTGATCTGCAGGAGGCGGGCTACACCGTCACGCGGCTGTCTGGCGACATCGAGCAGATCCCCATTCGACAGGCCGACGAGCGATGCCCCCTCTCCACGATGGGGCTGAAGCAGCTCACCCGCAAGTGGCCCGAGGTGGAGGGAAGCGGCGCGACAAGGATATTACAAGATTCGGGCGATTCGGGCGACTTCTGGCCCGACGTGGTGGCCAGTGATGCGGCAGCGAGTTCATACGCTTATCTGCTCTTTTTGTGCCTCGCCTGCTGCTGTCTGGCGCTGGTCGGCCACCTGTGAGTGATGATGACACATACGACGCGACGCGACGCGACGCACAAGGGGGCGGGCATCCATCCATCCATCCACTCACTCACCTGTCTGTCCTTACGCATGCGTGGATCTTTTTGTTTGCGCATCCCTCTGTCTCTCTGCAGCACCTGTCTGTACGTATACGTGATGCATGTGTGTGTGTGTGCGTTGGCTGCCTTTCGTGTCCGTGCACTCGTCACGTTGGGGGTAATTTCCCGAGGGCGATAGTGCCGCCCTGAGTGAATCACGGAAGGAAGGAATGAATGAGTGCATGGGGTTTGTGGGCAGGGAGGGAGAAGACTAAGTACTGGCCCTTTTTGTTTGTAGTCTTTGCGTCTGTGGTGCGTGTGATGCATGCATGGTGTCTTTATAAGAAGAGAATGCGTCGATGACTGCCGGATGGATGGATGGATATGGTTTGTGTCACTTCTGTAGCTGAGCTGGGTGAGTGTGGGGACCAGGGGCAAGGGACACATACATGGGTAGACGTGCGCATCTCTTCATTCAAAGCTGCGTCGGTTGGTGGCGAACACGCACGCACGGACACACGTCATGGACAGGCACACATGTGTCATTCACCGACGGCGGACGGCGGGCGGTGAGGCCGGACGCTGTGTTCGTGTGTGTCACGCTGCGCCCTCCTCTCTTCAACTGCTGGGATCCGACTACTGCAATCGAACCTTACGTGTATTGTGCCTGAGGGAAGGATGACTGACGTCTGCACATCACGTGTGTCTGTCAGTGGTCTGTCTGTACGTCTGTCTGTACGCAGCATGGATGTCATCACATCACGGGCAGGGCACGCAAGCGGAAAGGCCGGCGCCTATCCATCCATCCATCCATCCATCATGCTATGCTTATGCTGTACGTGTGGTATGTTGCTGCCTGCTGGAAAAATCAGTGGACAAATATAATATTGTCCAAGTACACACAAATCATGATCAAAGGAGTACAGATGGGCGAGTGAGACGCATCGTATCTCACCTATCGACACGTATGTATGCACATCGATTCGATCTGCAGCAGGAAGGCAATTGACACGGCATGCACAAAATAGCCGCAACCACCGCGAGAACGATGCGATGCTACTATAGAGACCAGGTGGGGAAGCAGCAAGCCCATAGACACATATGCACAGGTGCACAGACACAGAGAGACAGGGAGAGAGAGGGAGGGACAGACAGAGAGAGACACAGCGAGACAGAGACATACAGACTGATGCACCACTACTGTAACCAACTGGCTGGCTGACCCTTATCCATCCATCCATCCATCCATGGGTCCCTCACGTCACTCACGTCACTCACTCCAGGATGGGCAGCACGCCCCCTCCCACGTCCAGCCGGTGGAACACCAACCCGGAGCGATTATGCCCCGATGTCACGCACCCGCACGCCACTATATCCAACACCTCCAGCGGCTCCACCACGTTCTTCCGCTGCTTGCTCGGCAGCGACCTCGACCGCTCCCTCGAACCTTTCCTGTGCCGCTTGTCGGCCGCCCGCCTTTGCGCCCCAGCCGATGGCGGCAGCTGTGTGGATGTGCACGTTGATACGTCCCCGATGCTGATCGGTGAGGAGAGTTCGCTCGCCGACATGGAGCGGCAGACGGGGGAGCTGTGCGGGGCGGCGTGGTGGTGCGCCGGGGCGGGCGAGAGGCACTGCGAGTGCGCCTTCTTGACGTGCGGATGGTCGTGGTGCTGATGCTGCTGATGCTGCTGTTGTCGCTCGGGTGCCGCCATCTGCCTCATGAGCAGTGCTGGCGGGACGACAGATGGACAGCTGACCTCGGCGGCACACACAGGGGGGTGCAGCAGGTTGCCCAGGGACTGCCCGTGCAGCCCATGCCCATGCATGCTGCCGTTGATGAATGGTGACGCGGGGGGCGTCGACTGTGCCGGCGGGGGGTAGAGCGACGACGGGCTTGCGAACGTCGATGGGGGCGAAGGGGGCGGCGAGTGCGGCGGGTGCAGCACCGGGTGGTGCCCGCCAGCCCCACTCACAGCAGACCGTTTGGTGGTTTCGCGTGAACAGGGGACTTCCCCTTTGTTGCCCGCTGCCCGATTTCTGCATGGGACGAGGTAGACGGACGCCACCCAGGCCGTGAGCAGCAGCACCAACGCCAGCAGCAGGGACACCATGACTGTCAGCCACATGGGCTTGCCGTCCTCCTCCACGGCCATGTCGGTATCGGCCGATTTCTGCTCGCTGGTGGTGCCGGTTGAGAGGAGGGTGATGGCGTCTTGTTGCTGGCTCTGTTGCCGCGGTGGTGGTGTGTCTGCGGTGGCTGTGGGGGGGACTGGGCTGGTAAGCAGCGCGGGCATTTCGGACTGGTCTGGGATGGTGAGCCACTGCTGCATGAGGGTGGACATGTCGCTCTTGAAGTGCGACTCGAACACCGACGGCTCCACTCTGCCGACCAACACGCACATCAATCACATCGTTGTGTGTATCGTCCTAATGCATCCCCATAAAAATCTATCCGTTGAGCTTACTCAAGGAAGAATTGCGTGCCTTGCTGTGACCTCGACTGCACCTCCATGACATCGATGGCTTCATGGGGGACACCCAGCACCCCTGCCGACCACCGCTGGACGCCCTCGAGCACGTGTGACCGGTACCACAGATCCTGATGGCATGGCAGGCAGGCACGTGACATGACATGCAACACTTGCTTGTGGTGGTACTGACTGTGTGTGTGTACCTTACCTCGACAAGACGGCCGTAGGACACCTGCCGCACCCCAAGCGTCAGAAGCGCCACGTCCTTTTCATCATCATCCGTGCCAGTCGTCACATTGGTCACATTGGCGCTCGCGTCTCTCTCTGCCTTGTCTTCCTCGCTCTCGCGCAGCATGACGGGCGGATACGCCTCCCCATCCACAATCGACTGCTCCACTGACGAGTTCTCATCTGATGGGGGGGCGGTGGACATGCTGTCATGCTCTGGCTCGTCTGTCGTTGTCGAAGTGGATGGCGACGAGTAGTCGGGGAGGGTGTCACTCTCCCACTCGTGTGTGTCCTTTTGGTCTGTGTCGTCGTCCTGGTGGTCCTCAGGTGGGGGAGGTGGTGGGGGCTTCTTTGGCTTGGGGGTCGGCTTGTGGTTGTGCTTGTCGTTGTGTTTGTTCTTGTGGTGGTGGTCCTTGTTGTCCTTGTTGTTCTGCCACCATTTCTTTCTCTGATAAGTGTTGCTGGCGCCTTTGCCTTTGCCTTTGCCGCTGCCCTGTCGCTTCTTGTCCTTGACGCAATACGCAGGCCCCGATATGCTCAGCAGCGCTCGCACGGCCACATCGTCGATCCGCTTGTCCTTCCTCGCACCAGTGAACAGGTGACACTCACCCCCTGCCCCGCCCCCGCCCCCCTTGCCCTTGCTGTCGGCCCGTTTGCCGTCCCTCTCGCCCTTGTCGTCGGCCTTCAGGTGGAAGGAGAACGAGGAGCATGTTTCCTCGTGTTGGCAAAAGACTTGGCAGACCTCGGCGGAGGGGAGGGAGGAGACGGCCTTGACGGGCTCCAGGATGACCCTCTTGCCCAGCATGAAGCACCCCACCCACTTGGACCACACGATGGAGTCGTCTTTGGAGGAAGTGGCGGACGGAGAGGGGGGGTGCTGCTGGGCCTGGGCGTGGGCGTGGGCATGCGCCTGGGGGCGGGCCAAGGGGTGCTGCTGGTGGGGGTGTCTGTGGCTTTGTTTCTTCTTGCGAGTGTTGATGGCTTTGGTCTCGATGTTTTGTCGTTTCTCCTTGGCCATTCTGACGATGTGTGCCGTCTCCTTTGGCGGCACGACAGACCGGCCCACCCTTTTCCAGCCGTCGACGAACCGCTGCTGATTGTCTGCCTGCTCGCGCACTCCCGCCGCAAACTCACTCGACAACACATTCACCCAATGCTTCGCACCGTCATCGCTGCTGCTCAGCTCGCGATGTCGCGGTGAGGGTGGCCTCGCCCCCACTCGCAGAATGACGTCATTCGGTGGCTTGCTGTCGGGCAGTTGATGAGTGGCGATGGTCTCATTGTTGGCGTAGATGAGCAGAGAGTGCGGCTGCCACTCCACCCCCAGCACCAGTGACACCTCCACATCGCCACCCACGCCAGAGCTCGGCCCTTTCATCGCCACATCGACTCTCTTCATCTCTTCATTGGCTTCTCCCTTTTTCGTATCGACGGTTGATGTGACATCGATCGGCAGCACGTCTTTCCTCAGCCCAACCCTCGGCGTGGCCTCAACCGCCACGCCATCAGCTGTCGCTCTGCCGTCATCTGGCCGCTCCATTGTCATCAGGCGAAACAAGACGACTGGCGGGGTGGCAGTGATTGGCCTGTGCAGCAGGTAGGTGAAGTGGGTCTCGAACCTGCCGTAGTGGAAGCTCTGTTCGGCCTCCATCTGCCATGGCGACGACGCTGACACGACCCCCTCTTCGCGCAATAACGATGAGATTTCGTTGCCCATCACCAGCAAAGGCGGCAGGACGATGCGCGTGACGTTGCCAGTGGACTGGATGTAGGCCGGGGGGATGGCTGCTGCTGGTGTGTGTGCTGCTTTCCGGCTGAACCACAGGAAGTCGGTCACAAGACTCTCGTCGTCGGTTGTGGCCTCCCCGCCCGCCTCAGAGAGGAAGGCCTTCTCGATGACGACCGACAGGACCACCCCCAGCACGAGCAGCACCGTCGCCAACACCCCACAGAAGAACACCACGCTCTTCCGCCAATCCATAACCTCCATCGCCATTGACGGTCCTCCGCGTTGCTGCCGCCCGCTGCAGATTGAGCGTTTGTCCGTTCGGTTCGTGGAGCTTTCCGTTTATTTCGTCGGCCGTTGGGGAGCTTCGACCCAGGCTTCGACGAGCGAGATGAGCTCTGGGGTGGACAAAGTGAGGGTGGGGGAGTCGCCTGGGAAGATCGTCACTCTGAGTCCGTGCTCGCCTGCATTGGTGGAGGTCAGACAAACACGCATACGCGTGCGACGACGAAGAATGAATCATGATGTCCCTGTCTGTCTGTTCTATACAGGCCATTGCGTCGCCACAGACCCGCGGAGATGAACCCGGTGAGTGAGTCAGTGAGTCAGACAGGACAGAGGAGAAGTGTGGAATGCATCCGCTCATCAGTCGACGTGTGTGTGTGTTGCTGTTCTGTTGCCCTGGCTGGCTTCAGCGACCCCCGTGGTCCACCATGTGTCTGCAGCCGCCACTGGCAGCCGCCCCGCTCGCATCGGTATCCTCTCCAGAGAGAACCTCGAGAAGCTCAAGAGAATCAGCCAACAAATGGCTGGGGTACGCAACCCTTATCGAATCTGACGGAGTCATGTGTCTGTCTGGTGTCTGTGTGTGTGCTGATGGTTTGATCAATCAGGGCCGCAGCAACAAGATGGTCAAGGACAGGGGCGATGGGCATGACAGTGACGGCCAGTCGTCGAGCGACAGCGACGATGACGATGACGATGACTCTGACAAGAAGAGCGACAAGAGCGGCAAGAGCGGCGCCGGCAGCGACCTGAGCTCGGAGGAGGGTACGTGACTGTGCCAGCACATCAATCACATCGCTGCATGTATCCATGGCTTTGTCTGTCTACAGAGTATTTCGACCCCGATGGCAGCGACTCTGAGGACAGTTGCGCTTCCGACAAAACTGACGCCACCTGGGTGGAGGCAGAGGTCCAGGGCAACAGGAAGAGAAGAAGGCGCCGAACCAAACCCTCGACCAGGCGCACAAAGAGAAGACGGTGCGTGCGAGACCTCTCGCACCAGGCAGACAACAGGCGGGCATCACACCGACAGACCCTCCTGTGTGCTGTGCGTTTCAGTCACACCAGCCCACCCGTGGACATGCCCCCGCTGCCCAAGGTGAAGGGTGTGTGCTACTACCCCTCCACGGGCTGCTTCGTGGGCTTCTGGACGTCACCTGATACCCACAAGGGCGTTCAGCGAGCCTTCAGCGTGGCCAAACACGGGTACGAGGGTGCATACGAGAAAGCACTGAGTGTCCGGAAAGCCGCTGAAGCGTCCGGCAAGGTGAGCGGGCGGCCGGGCGAACAGACAGACAGCCCACCAACCCAACACAACTCGGCAGCGGAGGAGGCATCGATCCTGTGACATGCAGGCTGCCCTGAAGGCCCCTGGCGAGCGCAGCAGCGGTGTGAAGGGTGTGGCGTGGTATGCAAGACACAAGGCGTGGGCCGCCACGTGGAGCGAAGACGCGCAGCCGCGTCGACAGCTGTTCCGTGTGTCTGCCTTTGCGAGTGAGAGTGACGCCATGGCTGCGGCGGTGGCATGTCGGGTGGCGATGATCGAGAGGAAGGAGAGGAAGATGGCAGAGCGTGGTGATGCTGAGGAGGGAGGGAGTGACTAGTGGCCGGATTTGTCGATGGATTTGTCTGGGTGAAGGCTGCTTTGCTGCTCAAACACATCTGAGTGGACCAGAGCTATACCGGATGTTGGAGGGGAAGTGCATTGGATGAGCCTGACTGTCTGTCATGGCTTGCATCTCTCAATGCATTCATTACGAAATGAAATTGTGTCACTCGTCAGTGTCTTCAAACCGTGTTCGTTCTCTGAATGGTCTTTCCATCCCAGCCATCGCTCCGTGACGAACGTGTAGCGGCTGGCTGCCCTTCCGCCTCCATCGGCGAGGCACACATGTCGAGCGTCGATACACCCGATACATGACCCTCTCTGACAAGCGGCGTAGAGCAAAGCCCCCACAACACATCACACCACCGCTCATCAATCTGTCTGTCGATCCGCTCTGTGTCTCGCGCACACGCAGCTGCCTTCCCTGCTGCCTGTCTGCCTCATCTCCCTGACGGCCCGTGTCCCCCCCCTGTGGCCGTGTGTGAGGCATACCCACACCATACATACACGGCGCGCGGAGCTCAGCTTGATCAACACCCACGCACAGAGAGCACCCATCGATGGACACGCACACCGCGAGTCATACCTTGCCTGTGCGTGAGTCGGCGCCATGTCATGAGACTCCCCCTCTCGCCACGCGGCCGCCTCTCATCAGCACTGGGATGAGAAGCGGAGGCGCAACTGGAGACAGGTTACGTGACGGAGCGCCCAGACCCGCACAGGCGAAGATACTCGCTGACCATCCATCCACCCGCCATCGAATATATCCATTGCTGCACCTTTGCCCGTCCGCATAGTGTAGTGGATCCACGCATCGATCGCATCATGGAGAGAGAAAAATGCATGAACACCAACCGACACACATGCACCCATCCCATCCAGGACACCGAACGGAGCGATACAGGAAGGAAGACAGGCACAGGCGCAGGCAGCAGGGGCACATTGCGAGGCATGGATGGCTGGATGGGGTGGCAGGGAGGGAGGGAGGGGGCCAATCCGATAAGACAGACACACCAATATTCAGTCGGTCAGCTCACGGCAGGCAACAGCAGCACAACAGGCAACAGCAGCATAGCATGGCGGCAACACACGACAGCAAAAATGACCTGCCACACGAGGCAGGCCTGTGTATGTGTAGGTGAGGCGTGCAGGTAGGTACAAGGATGCGATACATGCAGCCAGAGGGACCAACCAGAAATATCACAACTGGGGATAAGTACACGGTCCCTCATCATTGGTATGTATCAGTCGGTCAACACACACTCGCATGGCACGGAGGCAGGCAGGCAGGTAGGCAGGCAGGTGGGTGGGCAGATAAGATAGAAGTAGGCAGCCCAGCCATCTGGACACAAAAACGGACATAGATAGACAGACACACAGATCCACACATCACATGAGATGACGGCAGCCACCGAAAAAGGCGACAGAGACTCTCACGAACAGACAGACAGTCACTGGCAGCCGGACACCGACCGATACGATACACACACACGCATAGGTAGTTAGCTAGTTAGGTAGGTACGTATACATTTGTATCGCACACACATACACAGATGCAGCATATGCAGACAGCCCAGACCCACGCAGCACACGGATAAGAAAAGACAGCGACCGACAGGAAAACACACAAAGAAAAAATGGAAAGAAAAAGCCACAGACACGTAATCATGCACACCAACCATCAGCAACACACACAAAACTGCCCCGCAGCAGCAGCATCTCAAAATCGGGGCCGGCAAGTCAGGCAATGCACATCTGTCCCATTGGTTGGTTGGCGACTTGCCCTGTGATCTACGCCCCCTTGCAAGCCACTGGCCGATCTCGCTGATACGACTCGCGGCCGAATGCAATGCCAACGTCGCGAGGTCGGGTAGCCGAGGATGGCCATAGACGAGGGAGCACAGCGATCAGATCACGAGGGAGTCATTTGGCAACGTGACACAGCAGAGACTGTACTAGGCAGATAAGGACACAGGCAGGCAGGCAGGCAGGCAGCATCGATCTCTCCTCCGTGTGAGCGAATGACTCATTCAGTCGATGAACTTGTTGTTGGCCTCGAACACCACCTGACCAACGCACGCACACGAGATACGATCCATATCCATCCATCAGCACAGGTGTGTGGTGTGGTGTGATGTGGTGTGATGTGTGTCGGTCGTCTTTGTGTTTGTTGCGCACCTGGTGGTTGAAGTAGACCCTTGCCCACTCGACCATGTCGCGAGCGCCACGCGTCAGCCGCATCTCGCAGTTCATGCCGCCGTCCTGACACACAACCACACGCACACACACACACACACACACAGAGCACAACGACAGACAGATACACTTATTATTCCCTGCCATCGATGTGTGGGTGTGGTGATTGCACTACTGACCAGGTTCCAGGCCCTGAAGAAGAGCCTCTGTTGCGGGTCGCTGCTGAGCTCGTACGCCAGCTGGTTGTAGTGGTGCGCCTGCACACGCATCGCATACACACACACACACACACGATGGTTTCCCTCTCCTCCCTTCAGCCTCTTCATGTGTGTGTGCGTGTGTGTGTGTTGTGACCGCCTCACTCACCTTGAGCAGGTTGCCGTGGAGCTCCACGTGTGTCGACTCGAAGGGCGGGGTGTGGTTGGCCAACTTCTGAAAGGCACGCTCGATCGCCGGCATGCCCCTGTGCACACACAATGAATGTCACACAGAGAGAGGAAGGTCACGTGTACGGCTGCGCGACCCGTCTCGTCTCGTCTGGTCTGGTGGGGTGGGGACGTACCTGAAGACGGCCGTGAGTTCCTTGGTGTACTGGCACTTCTCGCCCGCAAAGAGGACCTTCCACTCGTGGCACTTGTCCAGCACCATCTGTGTCAGCTCCACATCGCCAGCGGCACCATGCAGCACCGAACCAATCCGACGCGCAACTCTGCACACCCACCCACACACACACACGAGACCATCAGTTCTCTCTCCTTATGTCTCTGCACTCTTCACTCACTCACTGACTCACCCGTGGTTGAGGACCACGCCAAGGTACTCGCATGTCTCGGGCTTGATGGGCATCTTGATGCGATAGACCTCGGTGCACTCCATGCCCGCCTCCCACTCCACGCCCACGATCAGCGCCTCCCACCCGGGGTGCTCCTGGTCCGCCGCACCCACCAGCCCCGGCAGGGCATCCCAGAGGGACCGCGACACGTACATGTCGCTGTCGGTGATGACGGCACACCGCCCGTCGAAGTTGGTGAGCTGGGGGGGCAGGGGGGCGTCAGACACACGGTCGGGGCCTCTTGCAGGCACCCGGAAGATGGGCACCTGGTCGCATCGCACACAGAGACGGCGTGTGCACACGCTGCGCTGTGGATGGATGGCTGTGGGTGTGGTGTGGTGTGGTGTGCTGTGGGTGTGTTTACCTACCTGTGAGTTGTAAGCCCATCGTGCGGCGGTCTCGTCGGTCTTCTCGCTGCCCACGAGGTCGAAGATGGCCTCGGCGCCGAGGAACCTCGACCACTCCTCGAAGCTCGTATACACCGCGCCGCTGTCCGGCAGACCCTGACACAACACGCCCTCGCTCTCGCCTGACACAGACAGACAGACAGACAGACGACCAACGAACACACCAACCGTCACTCACGCCGACATTCATTCAAAGTCTTCCATGACACGCTGGCACAACACCGACCCACCACGCACACGTACACGTACCGATCTGTTTGCCGGCCTGTTTGGGGTCGAGTCCACCGTCGTAGAGTGTGCGGATGGCCTCGAGGCACCTGGGTGAGCGGGGTGCTGCGGCGAGGATGGAGTGGTGCTCCAGGAACCCGCCGGCCGGCAGCGGGGAAGTGAACAGGGAGGGCGCCTCGGGACCCTTGAACAGCGTGCCCAGCGGTACCACATACCCACCTGCATTGCATCGATGCCAAGTCACCACACACACACACACACAGAGAGAGAGAGAGAGAGAGAGGTCAGCGGGTAGGTGTGTGAGGTCTTTCCCTTTCTGTCTGGGTGACGTACCTTCGTCGTAAAGGATTTCGAGTGCTAGCATTTTGACAGCGAGTGCGTCCATCTTGCGGTCGACATGGTACAAATTGGCGCCGAAGAAGGACCGGCCCTTGAGGTCCTTGAGCGTCCAGCACTTGTACCGATACTCGGGGTGACGTCTGACACACCACACACCGCCACCACCACACACACCACCACACACACAGATGCACGTGTTGATGCGTTCGTCCGTGTGTGTGTGGTGTGTGGAGTGGAGGGCTCACTCACCTGCAGAAGTCTTGGTACCAGGTGGCCATCCACCGCTCTGGCTTCATGTCGCTCGTCTGGAAGACAAACTGGTGGATCACCTTGGGGGCGCTGCTGCTGGCGGTGGCGGCCTGGGCGGCGGCCTCGGCTGCCGATGGCAGCGGCCGAAGGGACCCCAGCGGCCAGTCCTTCCGCTTGCTGTGCACCTTGCACGTCAGAGCCTTCCGGCACCTGCACACACACATGGATGGATGGATGTGGTGATGGTGCGTTGGTTGCGTTGACCGCACTTTTTTACCTGTTCTGCGTCCTGACGTAGTTCTCGAGTCCGCTGCATGTGTACCCGAACTGGAACATGTAGGAGTTGGGGAATTTGGTCAGGTCGATGGCGTCGGGGTTGGGCACGAAGTGAAAGGCGGGGTAGAACAAGTGGCTCGGAGGCACACACATCGGCATCCCCGTCTGCAGGCCAGGACACAAACCATCACACCACACACACCAGATAGATGTGTGTGTCGTGATGGTGTCTGCGTATGTGTTCCGTCCGTTGTGTGTGTGAGTAGGTAGGTAGGTAGAGTACCTGGAGGAGGGCGCGGGTGTAGGCCAGCGGTCCGGTGACCCACTCGACGGAGAGGTGTGGGCGCTTGAGTGGGTAGATGTTGCGCAGGTAGTAGATCATCATCAAAACCAACGGGTGCTTCGGCGCCGCTACTATCACGCTGTTGCCTGACACACAACACAACACAGCCCGACGCAACATTCTCGCTCTCTCTCTCTCTGGCAAGATTTTCCTCTGTGTGTGTGTGTGTGTACCGAGGACGGAGTATGGCTTGTCCTTGGTGTCTGGCTCGTAGGTGATGAGGAACTTGCTGTCCTTCTCGGCCATCTCGATGATGGGGTCGAGGCACTTGGATCCGCACGAGACCATGTCCGCGTCAATATAGATGCCGCCGTGCTGGTACAGCAGCTCCAGACGCAGCAGGTCCGCCTTGCACTGCCACATCCTCTCCTGCATGGTGGATGGACCACACAGGTGGCACACTCAGGTATGAATGTTTGTGCGTCGAGGTGTGTGTGTGTGTACCTGCTCGTAGAAGTCTCTGTTGAACATGTGCAGCTTGGCGACGTCCTCGTCGGTCCACAGAGTGTGGTCCCAGTGCTTGTTGCGGTACAGGTAGTCCACACGCTGTGATGAGAGAGACACACACGGAGGGAGAGGAGACATGCACCAGGTCAGCGCGTCGCGTGCATGTTCGCGTCCGCCCCGCCAGAGCCTCAGTTTCCTTCGCTCTCTGCTTTCGTACCCATGTGTCGAGCCAGAGACAGGGAGGCTCCTTGGGTCCCACCCAGATCTGCACCAACACACGACACAAACACACACGCATGGCATGAGCCCGTCCCTCTCCCTCAAGCCACTCATGCCACCCCCTACCTGGTGCATCATCTTGGGAATGGCCGGTGCGGTGGGCAGGTAGTCACGCACGGCCTGCTTCCACTCGTCGGCGTTCGCGAGGTGGCACTCGCGGTGGTCCCACATGTTGAACTGACCGATACACTCCACTTTGGCCTCGAGGCTCTCGTAGGCCGGCTTGCTGGGGTGGGGCATGGTGGCGCTACTGGGGTGGGTCACACTGGCGTGCAGCGGCGTGTGCGGCGGGGAGGTGTGGGTCAGGTGGTCGGTGCCGTCGACTGTCATGTCGGCGGTGTGCGGAGAGATGGAGGAGAGATCTGAGGTCAGAGGGTCACCAGCAGCTAGAAACAGACAAGAAGGCAGAGCAAAGTCCCAAAATCTGCAGCAAATGCAGACCAGTGCGAGCTCAAAAGCTCGCGAACGGGAGAAGGACACAGCACACTAGCATCTCGTTGACAGCAGTGGTACTGCATGCAGACGGCCGAAGGCACCTCATCCTCACAACCAAGACAAGACGATGGCAGATGCAGATCAGCCAACGACACCGCGTCCAAGACGTGATAGATGCATCCCATCAGCCTGCCAAATGAAGCCAAGCGCACTCTCTTCTCCCACTTACAACTTCCCCCGACCTCGAAGGCGGCCGTCTATGACTCTCGCCATGTTGATCTTTGCTGCACTGACAGAGGGCATCAGAGCCGTACAGAGAAGCGGCCGAGAGGGCTTCGCCTTCGGCCACGGGAGGAGGCCGCTGCTGCAGCCGCAGCATAGGGGAGGGAGGGGCGGGGGACCTCGTGTGGTGAGAAGTGCAGCAGCTGACGGCCAAGCCGTCGCAGTGGGGCCCGTGCAGACGACCGAGGCAGAGGTCAAGACACCCGCTGCAGCAGGGGTGAGAGTCACGAGGCAAGGCAGCACTCGAAATGCATGGGGACTGTTAAAGGTCTGCTACCTACTGTGTGTGCGTGGATCAGCGTCGCAGTGCGGCAGTGGTACAGACGGCTGGCGGCACCAAGGAGAGCGGTGTGAAGGAGGCGCCGCTGGATCTGAACCCGCCGAGGGGCACGAGGGATTTCTTCCCTGACGACATGCGCCTGCGCAACTGGCTCTTCGACAAGGTTAGTTAAGCACATCGTTCGATCAACAATGCTGTGGGTCGGTCACGTATGCGTGGTGCTCTGTGCATTATTTGTCTGTCTATCAGTGGCGGCGGGCAAGTGAGCTGTACGGCTTTGAGGAGTTTGACGCGCCCGTGCTCGAGAGCGAAGACCTCTACATAAGAAAGGCTGGTGAGGAGGTTGTGGGTCAGCTGTACTGCTTTGCCGACAAGGGCGGGCGGCGAGTGGCGCTGCGGCCCGAACTCACACCCTCCCTCGCACGTATGGTGCTCGCCAAGAGGGGCCAGCTCAACATGCCCATCAAGTGGTTCGCGATACCTCAATGCTGGCGGTCAGCTCCAGCCCCCCACCCACCCACCCACCCACCCACACACACAATTGGATGCAGTGTGTGCAGCCGATGCATCCGATGGCTCCCTCTCTCTCTGTGTGTCTCAACTTACTTTAAGTTATGAGCGGATGACCCGAGGTCGGCGTCGCGAGCACTACCAGTGGAATTGCGACATCTGGGGGGTGGGGGAGGTGACGGCCGAGATGGAGCTGCTCAGCTGCATTGTTCGCTTCTTCGAGAGCGTGGGAATCGGCAGCGATGATGTGGGCATCAAGGTCAACAACAGAGAACTGCTCAGAGAAGTGCTGCACAAAAGTGAGGAGGGAGGGAGGGAGCGACAGACAGACAGAAAGAGAAATAAATACCCCCACCGCATCCACACACAAGGAAGGTGTGGACGTGGGTGGACTGATTATCTATCTGTGTGTGTCTTGTGGTCAGACGGCGTGCCCGACGACCGGTTTGCGGCCGTGTGTGTGTTGATTGACAAGCTGGAGAAGGTGCCCCTCGACCACCTGAGGGACGACTTCCGAGCGCTGGGGGTCGAGGGCAGCCAACTTGACAGCATCGCCGCGAGTGTGCGGGCCGACCAGACCGTCGACGACGTCGCGCAACTCGTGGGGGAGGACAGCCAGGCCGTCAAACACCTCAGGTATGCCTGTCGGTATGTCGGTGGGTGGGGGAAAAGGCACGTGTGTGTATGTCCTTCTCTGTGTGGTGTGGTGTGGTGTGGTGTGTGCAGAGATGTGTTCGACATGGCTGACGCATACGGGATTGCGGATTGGCTCGTGTTCGACCCCTCAGTGGTGAGTGGTTCTCCTAGTGGGACGGGACAACATGCACGCCTCATTGGTGCGTGTGTGTGTGTGCAGGTGCGTGGCTTGGCCTACTACACTGGCGTCGTCTTTGAGGGCTTCGACAGGGCGGGGGAGCTCAGGGCCATCTGCGGCGGTGGCAGATACGACACGTACGCATGTCGACGGCTGAGTGCGCCAGGCAGCAAGCGACTCACAATGGATGGACGGACACTCGTCCATTCCTGCTGCCGTCTGTCTGTCCGTCAGGCTGCTTGAGATGTTCGGCGGCGAGCCCATCCCTGCCGTGGGCTTCGGCTTTGGGGACGCTGTCGTTGTGGAGCTGCTCAAAACAAAGTGACTTGACCACATCGCCAACCACCCGTACATGCCATGCATCCCCCTTCCCTCACTGTCTCTGTTGTTGTCTCCCTCATCTCAGGGGCCTGCTGCCCGACTTCGCCGACACCTCTGTGGCTGACGCAGTGGTGTGGCCGCTCGCCGGGGGCGATGAGACATCGACCGTGCAGCAGGCGGCCGGCAGGGTGGCGACACGACTTAGACAGAGCGGGCTCAAAACAGACGTCATCCTCGAAAACAAAAAGGTCCGCCACAGAGAGGGAGAGAGAGAGAGAAAGAAACAAACAAGAAGAGCCACCGACTGCTTGTCTGTCTTTTGTGTCAGTCCAAGTGGGTGTTCAAGCACGCTGCGCGCGTCAACGCCGGGGTGTTGGTGGTGATAGGTGCCGACGAGGTGGCGGGGAACGAGGTGACGGCCAAGCGGCTGTGCGACAAGGAGCAGCAGCGGGTGACCCTCGACGGGACACATCTGGAAGACCTAGCGGCCGAATGGGCGATGGGAGAGGGAGGGTAGGGGGGATGATGATTTCCATCGCCCACTCACTGAATCTATGTTCGTTGCCGGTATCATCGTTTTCATGCCGCGACGGTGGCATGAAATTTATGGCGTCCGTCCATCCACACACACGGCATCCCATCTTACAGTCACTCGCATACGGACGCCACGCCCAGCTCACTATGTCGCATGCCGTCCGGTGGCAGGCAGGCGCTGCAGCCAGCCAGTCGACCGACCGTCAAAAGCTGAATTTCAGCCTTTGGTACCGGGCGCATTGGATGAGCGCCCCCAAAGTGAAGGCGCTCAACAGAAACAGAGTCATATAGAACCAAAATGACACCTGCACGCTCAACACAAGACAGACAGACAGCCACACACGAGAGACATCAGTCGATATCCACCAGCACACCGCGCCACACACAGATGTCCCACGCAGCGCGGACCTGGCAGTGTCCGATGGGCATCTGTATCTCGCTCTTGATGGCTTTGCTGCCGAGTTTGCGGACGTGCCACTTGATCTGGCAGTCGAAAATCTTGAAGATCATCTTGCGCTTGTAGCAGCTGCACAGCCGTCTCATGTACCAGCTGCACCCCGCACCAGGCATCCGAGGACACACATACACACCCACCAAACACCCCTGCACACAAGGGCATGCAATTTGCAATGCAGGAATGTGTGTCTGTGTCTCCCTCCCTCCCTCCCTCCCCCGCACGCACGAGTGACACCCACGTACCAGTCTTGTCCCCGTGTTGTCCTTTTTGCAGACGTCAGGGAAGACAAACTCCGGCAGCAGCCTGAGCTTCTGTTCGGTGGCAATCCTGTGCAGCTCCACTCGTGTGAGTTCCTCGAGGTCGAGGTCGGGGAGCTGTCCCTCATTGGGGTCCCAGAACGAAGGAGGGGTTGCAGCTGCTGCCGCACACAGCAAGGCCGTCGTCAGTAGGAGCAATGGCCAGGGAAGGAGGAGGCGGGCGCCTGATGTGTCAATTGCCCAGCGGCGAGACGAGACGAGACGGGGATAGAATTGGAGGCGCCCCCACGTGCCGTCTCTCTCTCGTGGCGTATGTGTGCGTGCGTGTGGATGTGTGGTTGCTTTGCAAAGCGATTAGTGCAACCACCAGGGTTAGGGTTTCCAACGGAGACGGTGAGGCATGTTCACGTTTAGGGTTCATGTTCATTGAACAAAGTCGCGATTGCAGCCGCCACACCACCTGCAGACAGCACGTGGGCATTCATCAAAACACCACACAGCCAGGCACGATGCAAAACCAGGTTACATTCTAAGCGAGCGAAGACAGCACGGAAAAAGCTGCACGCACTGGATGGTGCATCCATCGCATCACGTTGCACTGACAGACAGCACATTCACCACGGACACGCCAAGCACCAGGCGAGAACGTGGCCCTTGAGTGAGCCATGGGAAGGGCCGGCCCGCCGAGACCAGATGACGGCACTCATACATACATACATCCATCCAATGGCATGCATGGAAGAAAGCGATGGAGGGAGGGAGGCAGCCTAAGTGACCGTGGGCTTGTAGTCTGGGTTCTTGGTGAGGACCACCACGTGCTCCAGCACCGTTGTCTTCGACACGTCTGCAACACACACACCATACACACACACGAGTCACACACATCACATGACATGATGGATAAGGTTGGCCGCGTGCTCTGTTCGTCTGTCTGTCTGTCTGTTGCATCCCTCACATTCCTCGGTGGCCAGCTCCGCCCTGTCGTTGTACGACAGCACCACCGGGCTCTGGTGCGTCTGGAAGCCTGGACACATGGCATGGCACCAAACACACACCAAAAAACGCGCCAGAGGTCGATGCACCGAGAGATAAGTGTGTGAACGTCCTGTGACATGTGCGCCGCGCACCGGTGATAGATTTGGGTCTGCCGGCCTGTCCGACGACATCGACAGCCTGTCCGACCCGCACGGGCACCTGGAGGTGGTTGAGGTCCTCGTCCACCGTCAGCACCATGCGAGGCACTATTGCCGGCCCCAAGTGATACAGCAAATACGGGAACCGGCTGCATGGTGGCGTTGATTGACAGACACACACATAGGCGCGCACACAGACATCCAGCAAGGTGGCGTGGTTGTGGTGTGGTTGTTGGATACCCACCCGAGGATGGTGTTCTTGAGTGACAGACAGGCGTGGAGGACCACCAAGAACGCACCTGCACACACGGAATGGTTGTGCTTCAGCTGAACATTTCGGTGGCTAGTAGTGGCTAGCTGTCTGTGTCTGTGGTACCGTACCCAGGTTGACAGGGCTGTAAAGCAGCCGATCGGAGTGCAGCGGGTTGATCGTCACTAAACCCTACACACACAACAGACACACAGAGACCAACGATAGATCCACATCCCCAACACTAGAGTGCCTCCACGCCGCCCCCCCGCCACTCACCTTGCCCATGTAGAGCAGCCCCTGTGCTATCCTGACGATGAACAGCGCGTTGGCATCCTTTGCGTAGAAGGCCGCCAGCTGCCTCAGCAGCCCTGCGATGCGGCTGTTGTTGGTGCCAGCACCAACCAGACCCAGCGCAATGATGGCGTGCAAAGCCACATCCGCATCGGCGTCGTGCGACAGCTTGGACAGCGTATCTGACCGCACGCACCAACCAGTTTAACACACAGATCAATCAACGGGGCTGTCGGAAGAAGGTGGTGGGTGTCGGTTGTGGGTGGTGCGGTTTGTACCAACAACGTTTGGCCTTGGATTGGATGCATTCTGCAACGCCATGGCAATGGGCACCTACACACACGACACATATAGACAGACAGGCGATATGATGAAGCGTCGAGGAGCAAGTGTGCAGCAGCACAGGTGAATGAATGACCGACTGACTGACCGCTCTCCTCAGGGGAATGTCGCCATACTGCAGAATGTGGTCCAAAGACCGAGCCGTCATCTCAAGACCTGACATACATGAAATGACAATCAATCCATGGCAACCTAACATATATGGCAATGCTCACTTACCGACGTCCTCCCCGAGAGCGATGAGTGGCACGGCGAGGACGGTGAGTGACTGCACGAGTGCCTCCTCCTCCTTGTCCTCCTCTGTGCGCTCCGCGCACTGATGCAGCATCTTCTGAATCTGAATGGAGGCAACACGGACAGGACAGACGTCAACAACCGGGGGCTGTTAGGCAGTCAGGCCTTGCTTGCCTTGCGTGGCTTAGGTTACCTGGAGCACGTTGCCCGATCCTGCGTGAGCGCAGCTCTCCAATGTGAAGGACGCGTACTTGCCTGAGCATTGGTTGGAGTGCGGGAACAAACAGACGATGGCGTCGTCCTCTGTCCTCCCTCCTTTTCTTTGCCCGACTCACCCAGTGGTTTGTCGATCGCCTTGAGCATCTCAAGCGTCGTCTCCACCATGTGCGTCTCACCCTTACCTGAAAAACACCAAACACATACATGCAACCACACACGTCGAAACACAGTGCCTCCCTCCCTCCCTCCCGCCCCTCTCTCTCTGTCAACTCAGCCCCTCCTACCCTACCGAGGAAGAGCAGCCCCAGTGCGACAGCAGTGAAGATGGCTGGCCCATTGCAGGCCTTGTCAGCGTTGGCCTGGTCCATCAGTGCCTGCACCAGCGACTCCACCAGGTCGCCGTCCTCAGAGCCAAGGAAGACCAGCCCCAGGCTGAGTGCGGCCATGGCGCAGGGCTCCACGCCAAACGACCCGTCGAGCAGCACCGGGCTCAGCGCCTCACGCAAATCCTCTCGACGCGTGCCCGCGTAGGCATAACCCAGACTGACATGTATTATCACAGATGACACATGACAGACAGACGGGGCATAGCCTTGCGGATGGGGTGGCCGACAGTGGTGTCTCTTTCTCTCACCCGACGGCAGCTCCCAGCCTTTCGAGAGCCACGTTGCTGAGCTGCAAATGTACACAATCGGTCGATGGACAGACAGCAGCGGGGTAGGTGGGTGGGTGTCAGTGAGTGTGGGCCACTCTGTGACACTCACCAAGTGTTCCTGGATGAGTCCCAGCGCTGGATCGACCTCGTGACGCACACCAGCATTGGTCAGACCTGATTGATTCATGAGGACAGGTAGGTGGATGGATGCGCGCATCGGATTCGCATAATGAATGGGTGAGTGTGTGGAGTGACAGACAGACAGGCGGACTGTCCAGACTGACCGATGGCCATCCACGCACCCGCCTTGACGTGTGGGTCGCTGCTGTAGGTGTACTTGTCCACCGCACTCAGACCCTCATCGATGTTCCACATGTACAGCATCCCTGACCCAACCATGCCATGGCAGCCACATCAATCATTAAAGAAACAAATGGGTCGGTGGGGCTTTGCTCCCACCATTGTGTGTGTGTTCATTTTTCTGCCCGTGTGGTGTGTCCTTCATTCCTTACCGATGGACGCCACTGCGGCCGTCATGCCGTGGTCCTTGTTCTTGTACAGCCAACCCGAATCTGACCATACCACACACACACACACACACACAAAATCGGCCGTGCCGTGCAGGAAATGCCGCGGTAAGTAAATGATCCGTGTTTGCTTATTGACTTTCAACGGTCATAAGTTTGTCTTTGCAGAATCCGACGTTGACGAATGCGTTGACGAGGGTGGAGGCCAGGTTCTGCTTGGCCGAGTCGAGCACGGCGCTGGTGCGCTTCTCCTCCAGATGAGACTTGTACACGTCCTCGGGCAGCTTCGGCTCCATCACATCCAACTCCTAATCACATAATCACACACATGGGCATGGCGTGGCCTGAATGTCCCTCCCTGCGTGTGTGTTGTGTTGGAGGGAGGGGAGGGGTGTATCTAGCTTGCCTTGGCGAGCAGCATGAAGTGGCTGTTGAGTTGCTCGCCGGAGGCCAGTGACCTGAGCTCGTCGTCTGCCAGGATCTTGTCCTCGTCGAAGATGTCGCAGAAGACGCGCTGACAGGCCAGCATCAACGCCAGCTGCTTCTTCATCACCCTGCACACACACACACACACACACACGCACACACACGCATCCACGGATACGCATACTAACATGTGCCTGCCATTGTGTGTGTTTGTCTGCAGGCTAGGCTGCTGACCGTTCTTGGCAAGTGCTGAAGACTTTGGTCACTCTGTCCTCATCGTTGAGCTTCAGGGCTATCCTTAACGCGTCCGGGAACTGACCCTGGATGACACCACAGTACACCACAGTACAGCACAGCACACACAGGGAGGGAGGGAGTGTCGGTGGGGAATGATTGCTTGGTCGGTTGGCTTCTCTGATGCGCACGTGTTCCGTGTATATGTCGTATGTGGTGGCGAGTATCTGCGCGGGCTCCGGCTCCGGCAGCAGCTGGGCCATGCTTATCAGATACAGACACACACGGTGGTATGTCGCGTCGTCAACATACTACACACACACACACACAGAGAGAGAGAGAGAGAGAGATTGTGTGCGATTGAGCCTTGCCTGCCCGTGTGTGGAGATTGCGTACCTCTTTGATTTTTTCGAGCGCGTCGACTTCGCTGAGGAGGTCGACGGCCTCGATGGGCGCACTGTGCTTCATCAGGAACGGAACGATGATGAACACCATGCTCATCAACTCCTACACAACACACACACACACACAGAGTTGTGTGTTGTCTTCTGTTAATTCAAGCTTGTGGCTGTGTGTGTTGTCGCGACACGTGTACCTACCTGTGTGTCAGTGCCCTGCTCTTGCCTCTCCTGGAACTCAGCGGCGATCTCGCCCGTCAGATTGCGGATGTACTCTGAACCCCACTTGGTCATCTGGTCCTCAGAACCTGCCGTCCACACACACACACACACACACACACATTTGTTTGCCTTTCACTGCACGGCGCACAGTGTACTCCACTCCACTCCACTGACCAGCGAGTCTGTATTTGAGCGCCAGCCTCTGGTCGTTGACAATGGTGGTCGCCAACACAGACAGCACATCAGCCAGCGCCGCCTGATCGATAAACCCATCCATCGCACAGATCGACAGACAGACACACCCACAATACAATGCATTCAATGCTTCATCGGCACGCCACGCACCTTGTTCGGGTGCGTGTCGTCGATGCTCTCAAAATATGTCTTGATGGTGTCGAAATGCGGTCTTAGGAACTTGAGCGGCTTGGGCACTGAGGTCATAGAGCTGGTGGCCGTGCGCAGCTCCTCACCCAGAGCGTCGAGGGCCATCTTGCCGATACCTGCCATCATCAATCCGATCAATGTGCACTCACTAAGCCATGGATGGCGGACCGGACGAGTGCGTGTGCTGTCGGCCCTCACCCACCTGGGTCGGCGTCCTGCACTCGTTCGACGAGCATCTCGAGCTCCTCCTTCTTCTGCTTGTCCTCCTCGGACTGAACAGCAACACACACACAGACAGACAGACAAGCACACATCGATGAAGTGACTGTGGCGAGTGACTGACGGCCTGACGTATGTACCAGGTCTTCCTCCTCTTTGAGTTGTTTCTTGTCCTTTTTGGCCTTTGCTTCCTTGTCCTTTTCCTCCTCGTGCTTCTTCTTCCGCTCCTCCTCCTCCTGCTCCGTCAACACGGCGTCAACCGTCGCCACCTGCATAGGACGGACACACAGACAATCATCATATTGATTGCACCATGTTTTGTTTGTTTGCTGTCTGTCGTTCGGTCGGTCCCTCACCTTCCGCTCATCCTGCTCGTTCGGCATTTTGGCTCAGGGGGCAGCACACCACAGCACAGCAAACACAGCTCACGCTGCCCGGCTCGAGCAGCAATCAGGCGTTGCTCTTGTTCACCGCGCTCTGCAGTCTCCTGCTTGGTCAGCCCTCTCAGCAGCCTCAATGGCGAGATCTCCAACACCTTTTTTCGGCTTAGCTCGCAGATGCGCAGCGGTGAGTCCGGCGACGCTGATCTGTACAGGAGAAGGTGCATCTTAGCAGTGCAGCAGGCGTGTGGTCTGATCTGCATCCATCTAAGTTGCGCCAGCCAGATCTATCTGTCATCATGCCCACAGTGAGTGTGGTGCGGGACGAGCTGTTCGCCCACCTGGGGGAAACACTCAGTAAGCAAAGCAATCAATGCAGTGAATCAATGAGGCCCACCACACGACACGACACGATCAACGGATCCAGCCGGCACATGATGGATGTCTGCGTCTGCAGCTGACAAGGAGTTTGACCAGCTGTGCTTTGACTTCGGCATCGAGCTCGATGAAGTGGTCAGTCAGTCACACAAACACACACACATACACACATGTTTCGCTGTCCTTTGCAGACCTCAGCACAGGAGTTGGCTCGGAAGGAGAAGGGCGACAGTGCGGCGGGCAGCGAGGAACAGCAGCAGCAGAATGGCGATGCGGGTGTCAACGGTGCCGCTGGTGTGGCCGATGACGTCATTTACAAGATAGAAGTGCCGGCCAACAGGTGAGTCAGTCAGCCAGCTGACAGAGAGCGTGTGTCCATCGTCGTCGTCTCTCTCTCTCTCTCTCTGTGTGTGCGTGTGTGTGCAGGTACGACCTGCTGTGTGTGGAGGGTATCAGCAAGGCACTCAGGGTACGTGGGCCAATGGGGGAGGGAGGGAGGGAGGGGCCTGCCCATCCATCCATCCATCCATTGAGATCGGGTGTCTGTCTGTCTGTCTGTCTGGGTCATGTAGGTGTTCAAGCAGAAGGATGACCCGCCCGTCTTCACCCTCGAGCCCTCACAGCCAAACCCTGACCTCAAAATCACAGTCGAGCCACAGGTATGTATCACACACACACACACACAGACCCGCCATCCATCCATCCACTCATCCACTCATCCGTGTGTGTGTCATTCATTCACGCATGTGTGTGTGTGCTGCTGCAGACGGGCCAGGTGCGGCCGTACATAGTGGGTGCGGTGCTGCGGGGCGTGTCGTTCACGCCGCAGATGTACGCCAGCTTCATCGACCTCCAGGACAAACTGCACCACAACATCTGCAGGCGGCGGACGCTCGTGGCCATCGGCACACACGACCTCGACACCCTCAAGGGTCAGTCAGTCAGGGAGAATGTCATGTCGGTCGACACACGAGCAAGAACAAGACAGCACAGCACAGCGCATTGCTCACAGAGAGGGTGTGTGTCAATGAATGGTGTGTGTCAACAGGTCCGTTTCGGTACCGTGCGTTGCCGCCGAGTGAGATCCAGTTTGTGCCGCTCAACCAGACGGAGAGCGTCGACGGCAACCAACTCATGGCCATGTATGAGGTAGGGAAAGAAACACAGCCATCCGTCCACACATCCATCCATCCACACTGACATCCACCCACCCATGTGCTGTTTGTCTGTCTGTCTGTTTGTCTGTCTGTCTGTGCAGTCGCACCAGCAGCTCAAGGCGTACCTGCCCATCATTCGGGACAGCCCCGTCTACCCCATTATCTATGGTAGTTGCACGTAATGCCATCTGTTGCCATGGGAAGGAACGATGGGCGTGTGTGTGCATGTGTGTGTGTGTGTGTGTGTGTTTCCTTGTGGCAGATTCTGATGGTGTGGTGCTGTCCCTGCCGCCCATTATCAACGGCGACCACTCCAAAATCACACTCAACACCAGAAACATCTTCATCGAATGCACCGCGGTTCGTGCGAAATTCTCTTCCTTGCTTGTATGTGTGTGTGTGTGTGTGTGTGACGCTCTCCTCTCTCGTGTGAGTCGTTCAGACGGACCTGACGAAGGCCCAGATCGTCATCAACACGCTCGTAGCCATGTTTTCACCCTACTGCGCCAAACCATACAAGTAAGTAACAAAAGCCTGGAGTGACACCGAGCGAGACACACACACACACGGGACACAGCAGACAGACAGACGAGAGTGTATATGTATGGTGACACCACAACACACTGACTGACTGACTGACTGACACCAGGATCGAGCCGGTGCTGGTCGAGTACGAGCCGTCTCACCCCAAGATGGCGGGCGGACAGACCAGGACATACCCCTCAGTCGACAGGTAGGTCTGTTTGTGTGTGTGTCACTCATCCACCCAACCAACCAACCAACCACACGTGTGTATATCTCTCTCTCTCTGCGTGTGGCATCCATCCATCCATCTCGCAGCCGTCCAGTGGAGGCGAACGTGTCGTACGTGCAGAAGCTGGTGGGCGTGACAGACAGCGCACTGATGGGCCCCGACCGCATCTGCCAGCTGCTCAAGCGGATGTCCATACCATCGGAGAGGCTGTCGGACGACACTGTCAGGTGTCACGTGCCCATCACACGCAGTGGTACGCATCCCAGTGCATCTGTGTGAATAAGGAGCAGGAGGCACGTGATGTGCTCGCTGGTGGATGGATGGGAGGGACGGGTGGGTGACGTTCAGATGTGCTTCACGCGTGTGACTTGGCCGAGGATGTGGCCATTGCTTATGGATACAACAAGTGGGCACACACCGACACACCGACACACCGACACACCGACACACCGACAGACAGACAGGCGAACCAACGGGGCAGCACCATGGTCCCCTCCCTCTGTGTCCGTGTGTGTGTGTGTGTGTTTTAGCGTCAAGGCAGAGATCCCCCCCACCCTGGCGTGGCCGAGCGAACAGCCCATTGGACACCTGTCAGGTACCTGAGTGATTGATTGACGCAGCGCAGCGCAGCCCACACACACGCCACAGCCAGAGATCTATGACACTCGGTGATGCTGGTCTGGACTGTCTGGTCGGGCTGTCTGGACAGATTTGATCCGCCACGAGTTCGCTCAAGCGGGCTTCAACGAGTGTCTCACCTGGGGACTGGTACAAAACACAACACAACACAACACAATGCAATACAATACACAGGCGGGCACTGCTCCGCCCACCCCCCCGCAGATCTCATCTCACCCTCTCTCCCTCTGTGCTGTGTGAGTGTCAGTGTTCGAGCCGGGAGAACTTTGAGTGTATGCGGCGGACGCCGCGGGCTGACGAGGACGCCGACCTGCAGGAGGCCAACCTGCACATATATCAGGTGCGTACGCTACGCGGGGGTGGCGGGGCGGGGCGTGGCGCTGTTTGGGTGCTGGTCAGTCAGGTCAACAAACACAACGGTAGACCTTCCTATCTGTCCTGTGTGTTGTCTGCCTGCCTGCCTGCCTGTGCCCCGCCCCGCAGTATGACGCCTTCGCGCGCCCAGTGAGGCTGTCAAACCCAAAGACCAAAGAATTCGAGGCAAGCCAATGCCCTCCTACCACACACACATACACACACACACACACACACAGACGCACACACAGACGCACGTGTGTGTCGGTGCCTCCTTCCTCTCTCTTGGTTGGTTCAGGTGGTGCGGACGTCGCTGTTGCCGATGCTGCTCAAGACGCTGGCGGCCAACAAGAAGTCGCCCCTGCCCATCAAGCTCTTCGAGGTCTCAGATGTGGTCGTCATTGACAAATCCACACCCACTGGTCCGTTCGTTCGTTCGTTCGTTCGACCAGGGCATGGCAGGGCAGGGCAGGGCAGGGCAGGGCAGGAGAGAACTAAGACGTCTGATCTGACTGACGTGTGTCTGTCTGTCTGTCTGTGTGTCTGTGCTGACTGCAGGTGCGAGGAATGTCCGCCGAGCCGCGGCGCTTTATTCCAATCTCACCTCGGGATTTGAGGTCAGTCACATCACTCACACGACATTTATGACGTTGCGACACAATACAACACACACCCCACCGCAATGCAACAACCCCATGTCCGTCTGTCTTTGTTTGCTGCCTACCGGCCAGGTGATCCACGGTCTCATGGACCTGATCCTGTCGAAGCTCTCCCTCACGGCCGCCTACAACCGCCCAGACGCCACGCCTCCCCCCACCCTACAGCACCAGCAGCAGCAGCAGCAGGTGGTGGATGGTGTCAACGGCCACCACCACGTGGCGGCCAACCCTGGGCCACCCGGTGGCCCTGACTACCCGGCCAAGACCTACTACCTCAGGCCATCCAATGGTGTGTCTGCTGTGGGTGGGTGTCTGGCAGGGGAGAGGACAGACAGACAGATGGATGTGTGTGTGTGTGCAGACACGGCGTTCTTCGAGGGCCGGCAGGCTCACATAGTGGTGGGTGAGGTGGTCATAGGTGTGGTCGGTGTGGTGCATCCGGCGGCGCTAAAGGGATTCGCCATCGACACACCCGGTCAGTCGGTCGGTCAGCACGCTGACCACACAACAACATCAGCACGGTGGTGGGTCGGGTCGGTACAAGGATGCGTGTGTGTGTGTGTGTGTGTTCAGTGTCTGCGATGGAGATCAACCTGGAGCCTTTCATGGAGTGGCTGGCGCAATGAAGGGGAGAAGGAATGCAGTCAGGCCATGGCTGGCTGCTGAGCTGACTCACTCGCAGACCCCTTTTGATCCATCCATCCATCCACACGTGTGTGTGTGCGTGTGTGTGTGTGTGGTGCATGCGACTGACTCGCATGACGATGACATTCCGGCAGCGAGACACCATCATGCTTCAGAGACACCACACCCACATGACATACCATGCACTCATTGATGCTTTATGATTTATTGACTGACTGAACTCAATATTGAGCCGTGCGACCATGAAGGTCCGCGTCAGTCAATCCACATGCACACAAAAACAAGAAGCAGGCAAAGAACTATGGGTCCACCAAGACCAACTTACAAGTCCACCCACCTCAAACCCAGTGTGTCCTCATCTGTCCCCTCCCTCCGCCACATTAGACACACCACTTGTCAGCGTGAAACGACGCTCATTCCCATCACCATCACCACCCCCACCCCCACCTATGCCCGACATTAGCTGAGGGGCGGTCATGGCGGCCTGTGGTGGGGGACCGCCTGAGCTGCCTTGGCTGCGTTGACTCTGTTGATGTCCCTGCCCCTGGGACGCTCGCAAAGCGGGAAGGACTGTGCCGAATGTGGGTAGTCGGACGGGCAGCCCGATGGGCGAGTAGCTGTCTTCCGCCTCGTCTCTCTCCGTCTCTGCGTCTGCTGCCGATGCGGCGGGCTGCAGGAGGGTGGCAGAGAGGGGCTCCGGCCGGTGCACGAAGCCTCCTGTGGTGGTCTGGGGCCCGAAGGTGGACGCAGACACAGAGGGGGTAATGTCGTCCACTGAATGGAATGCAGTGCAGCAGAGAGGGAGAAACAGAAAACGCGAGACTCTGTGTGTGTCTCGATAGACGTGTGTGTGGAAATGAATGCTGGCTGACCCTTCTGAGTAGTATCAGGTTTGCGGATGCCCATGGCGTACAAAGGGTCCGTCTCGCTGGAAGCTCCTGTGCGGAGGGAGAGAGAACGGACGGGCTGCGCCACCAATCTGTTGATTCATGTGATGCACAGCACACGGAAGGAGGGCAAGGCACAGAGACAGAGAGATTCATTTACACAAGGATGAAATGAAAAGAGCTGTCTTGTCTCGTGCTGTGCTTCAGGGCCGTGCGTACGTCTCCTTCTCGAACATGCGGTGGTACAGGAATATCCACTTGTCGGGGTCCCGACCCTCCATGTGCTTATAGTATTTGGAGAACAGAAAGGACGACACAAAGCCCACAAACAAAGCCATGAACAGGGTCAGCACCTGCATACACACACGCAGAGAGGGAGGGGGAGAGAACACATACATACTGGATGGATGGATGGATCTGTGCCTGTCTTACTGCCTTACCCTGAGAAGGTTGTTGAGGTCTCTGATGGGCACCAGCCGCGGGCTGAGCAGGTCGATCTGCACTGTCTCCGTGTCTATCACAAACGGACCTTGCCCTATACACACACACACACACAAACACACAGAGGCGTATGCAGCAAGGCTCTTTCTCCATGGGCTTCTGTGTCTCACACACCAAAGGTAATGCCGCCCGGCCCCTGTATGGGCCCTTTGTCAGGTGGTGAGGGGTCGATCGGCTTCTCTTTGTCCTCGTTCTCGTCCACTATGTTGCCTTTCTTGTCGCAGGTGAAACAACCCTCCTCGCGGGCACACAACTGCAGGTCAGGCACCCCATATGGCGAAACAAACAAACAGGTGTGTGTCGTGTGTGTCTGTCTGTCTGTCTGTGTCATGTCATGTGCGGGGGTGTCTGCCTCTCATCCATCGCTCACTCACGTGTACGTTGCAGTATAGGAAAATGAACGGCGAGTCGCCCAACCTGAAGAGCGGGAGGGCCATGCGGGTCAGCTCACGCTCTTGCTTCACAAACTCCACCTCGATCTCCGCTGCACAACACACAACGACGTATTCGTTGGTATCCCCCTTCCCCTCCCCCCCACACCACACCCCACCCACCGGGCCGCTCGCAGTAGTCCTTGATGAGGATGACCGCCTGTGGGTCCCCCGCCTCCCCCGACGCCCAGCAGTGCTTCAGGTTGAGCGCAAAGCCCGTCTTGTAGCTCGTGAAGACCTCTACTACCAGCTCCTCGCTCCACCGCGGTATCACCATGGGGGGCTCATACAGCCGCTCATCGCACTCCCTGTCCAGACAGGCCTGCATCTGGACATCGAACTCGCCGCTCCCGCTGACGTTGACGGTCTTGACGCCCTCTCTCTCCACCTGGGTGCTGACGGTGAGGTCCTTGCTGTAAAGGCACTCGACCTCATACCGCACCTCGCCCCCCAACAGCGCCCCGCCGCCGATGACCCTCGCCTCGTTGGTGTGGACAATCCACTGGTCGCTGCTGTCGGCGTTGGCCTGTGTTCCGCAGCCGTCGAGTGGGGTGGACACACAGAGGAGGGAGTTGTCGTCATACGAGTGGCAGGAAGGGTCGGGCGTATCGCTGAACGACCTGCAGACACAGAAAGGGAACACACGCACGACACGATGTGGATTATTCATAAACATGATGTGTGTGTGTGTTGGGGATGAGTGCGTTGGTTGGTTGGTTCATGCCAGATGAGGTTTGAAGGTTCGAGGCAGAGGGTCATGCTGGTGGGGTTGCACGTGAGCGACACGGGGCGGATGGCTGCTGCTGTGGTCACTACGGAGAGCACCACAACCAGCCCCGTGGGGGAAGGCGCAACGGAAGAGAGCGACATAGCACACATAGCCTGAGCCAAAGAGGATGCAAATTGGAGCCCGGCGTGCTGATATGAGTGGTTTGAAGCCCTTTCCGGAGTTCTGCCACTGTGGGCTGGGTGGGGGCTCAGCCGCCTCTGACTCGGAGTCCGCGTCTCACTTTCTTCAAGTTCCCCTCTCCGATGGTGGTACGCGGAGTGGTGGCGTCGTTGGGTGTCCTTGTTGCCGCATTCATCCTCACACGCGACCTCTGTGCCGCCTCCCACATGGGCCAGCCGCAGCCATCGTCATTGCAGATGGCAGCCGTCAGCCCATGCAGTGAAAAGGGGTAGGCAGGCATATGAAGCAGAGGCCTGCGGTCATTTCTCGCTGTCTGTGCTGTCTGCCTGCAGCGGATCAGACAAGCCAACCGAGGCTCCCAGAGGGAAAAACGAGGCCCTGTCACGGACTGAGGGTCACGCGTATGACGACGATGAAGACGAGGAAGATGCGCCCCCCCCACCGCCGTGCATTCCCCTTCCTAACCCAGGCATCAGACACGAGCCCCTGCCTGATGGTGAGGTGTGGTGTGGCGACCTGGAGCTGCCCCCCTTGAGAGAACAGTGACAGATGGATGGATGGATGCATTGGTATACACAGTAATAAAATATTGGTCGGTTGGTTGGTATGTGCTCAAGTCGATTTGTATGTACAGTATGGTGTTGACCTTGTCTCTGTGCGCACACTTACACATGTACAGACAGACATCGAACGGGTAATCGTGCATTCTTCTGTCGATGATCAAGCAGCCGTATCGACATCAGACAGTCCCACTCTCCCGCACTATCGACAACCAGGCCATCCGCTCACAAAGCCCAAGCCAACACACAGCCACTTCAAAGACGCAGACACCGGGAAAAACAGCCGCAACGGCGTCGACTCGCTGAGCACTTCTAATTGAAGCCCACCAGAGCCTTGACGAGCGTGAACACTTGAATTTCGACCGAGAAAGGGATGGCGTGCAAGGGCATGAGTACCATGGGCCACGACAGCACTTCTCGTGTGTCGGGGGACTTGCCAGCCGTGTACCAGATGCCCCAGGGGGACGGCAGGTAGACGTACATGAACTGACAACACACACAGCGAGAGGCAGAACGAACAACAGGTCGATGCCATGCGCCGCGCCCAGCGAGCCCTTCCCGGCCTCACCACGACAGCAAAAGGAGCGACGAGGATGCCAGGAATGGACACCAGCAGCAGCGTGTCGTTAGACACAGTGTAGCCCTGTGAGAGCAGCACATGGACCACGGCCATCGGCACGGCGTAGATGAAGTCGGCGAGGCCGACCCCCCAGGCCCAGCCAGTGGGGAACGTGCCATTGTACCACTGACACACAGGCAGACAGGGACACAAACATACCAACACACAGACAGACAGACAACATGAGCGCATCTTCGTTCGTTCGCTCTCGTGTGTGTATGTTTTTGCACACCTTGATGAAGGTGACGAATGCCAGCAGACGGGGATACTGCACAGCCAAAAGCCACGGCAGCGGGATGGCACTCAACATGGCCTGCAGCACACACACACACACACACAGAGAGATGAGCCCTCATTGCCTGGATTCTCCACTCGGCCCCTCCCTCCCACTCTCACTCACCGCAGCTTCATCTTGTAGCCGGCCCGGCAGCAGCACCCCAGCCACGTCGACAAACACGCCAGCCAGCGCCACAAACGTGGGCAGCAGATACTTGGTGTTGCGGAGGAACACACCAGTGTATCCGAGATAGGCCGTGACGGCGCCGTACGAGAGGTGGAAGGCCAGCCATGCCCACAGAGCGTAGCTGCCGGTGGGTGCGTACCACTTGAGAGTGAGGGCCAGCCACACAAACGTCCAGACAAAGATGAGCGGCGTCACGACCGATTCGCCGCGGACGTGTGGGGGCGGCTTGTGCAGCAGAGGCCACACCAATGGCTGTTCCTTCGACGCTGCAGTGATCGAGGCAGACAGAAAGACCGATTTATGAGGGAAACCATGAATGACATTGAATGAAAGTGTCTGTCTGCTCTCACTGCTTACTAACACGTGTCGGCCGCCGTGCCGTGACCGCGTTGCTTGAGAGATGCAGCCATTTCGTCAACTATTGCTGTTCGTCAATTGGAATCCGGGCGGTGAAATCGGTGTGCAATGATTTCTTTTGATGCGGATGACTTTGGCAGACAAACAGCGATGGATGCCACTCCTTCGCGTCATCTTCTTTGGGTTAGGGTTAGGGTTGTCAAACCCAGAAGAACCCTGAACCCTAGCAATGAACCAGTGAATTGACAAAAGAGAGTGACTTTTCAATGGATGCGTCCGTCCGTCTGTGGACCTTGCGGATGGCTGGATCGATTGTTGGATTGCCAGGTACAAATACGCCTATACGCGTAGACGGACGGATGGATGAGTCTGTCGTCTGTTCGTCGCCCTATAGTACACAGGAAGAGAAGAGCCCCATCCAATCCAATCAATGCACACACGCATCCGATCCGTCCGCGCATCAATCAATCAATCAATCAATCTCACACATGACATGGATGGGGTGGCCATGCATGACTGCACGCAGCATCCATCCATCCATCCTCCATCCATCAGTCGGCCGGCCATTCAACAAGTGATCAGAGTGCCACTCCGTCGAGTGTAGTGTGCGCTGAGTGTGCTGCCTGGCTGTCAGGCCATGGGCAGGGGAGAGAGGGAGGGAGGGAGGGAGGGAGGGCATGACGCACAGTCCTCTGTACAGCTCAGGCAAGAAGAAATAGAGGCAGGCAGGCAGGCAGGCGCCAGCAGTAGGGATGGGCGGACAGGGGACAGGGGCATGGCCCACAGAAGTGAAGTGGTCAAAACGAAGAGGCGAGTGCTTAAAACGGTAGTGGGGGCAGGGCACGTGGATTGAAAAGCAATGAATGCACTCGATAATATATGTGAGCCAGCCAGAAAGGAAGTGGAGTAGGCACCAGCCCCTCTGCGCCTGCCTTGTCGATTGAATTAGGGCACTTCGATAAGTAAGAGGATGAAAACGATGGATGGATGGCAGCGAAGAAAAAAAGAAAGAAAGAAAGACAGACCGGCCGGCCATCCATGTGCAATGAATGACCCACCCAATTGTCCGGACCGACAAGACTCCTCCCTCCCACTCTGGTACTTAATTGCTCGCCATGCGAACCGACACATACCCAGGCAGGGTAGGTCCATACGTATACGTAGATAGAGACACGCAATCCATCCACACCACGTCGCAGAGTTAGCGAGTACCTTCCTCCCTCCCTCCCTCCCTCTCTCCCTCCCCGGCTCTCTCCTCCGCCAAGCATCCCCCTCGCCCCACACTGCACACACATGCAGTGCAGCAAAACATCAGAACACGACTGACTTGCACGATGGATAGGTACGACTGGTCCACGAGCCCCCCTCCCCCTCTCGCCGTCACAACAGGTCGGTCTCATGGCTCTCTCCCTCCTCGCTTGGCCGTCAATCGATCGAATCGATCACCTCCTGCCACTGGCTGCTCGTGGGGACGGGGAGGAGTTGTTTGGCGGCACCCGTATCTGCTGGTGTGGCGGGAGGTCGGTATACGCAAACGGCTCCTGCATGGGCTTGAGGCACCAGTCGGCTGTGTCGAACCGCTCCATGGGGCTGCTCTCGTAGTCGTAGTCCGTCCGCCCGTTGCCGAACAAGGGTGACGCGTGGTGGGGGTGGGGGTGGGGGTGGGGCTGGAAGCTCGATGTCGATGTGGATGAGGCGCCCGCGACGCTCGACTGGACAGAGGGGTCGGACCTGAGTGTCTTGTCGCCGCCTGATGATGCTGAGCCGCTGCCGGGCTGCAGCCAACAGCCAAGCTGACTGTTCCACCTGACACACACGGACGAGACGAGGGGGGAGGCCTGCTTTTGTTGCGTCCGTCGATTGCGTACCCCCCGTACCTCCAGTTTCGTTTCTCGAGGGCATACGCCGCCATGCTCTGCTGCAGCTTACCCTGACAGACAGACAAGACACAACCATACACACACCACACAGTGCAATGCACCTGCCCCTGCTCCCTCCCTCCCTCCCTCCCTCTCTCCTGGCTCATCTATCTCATTCCCTCCATTACCTTACCCGGTGGTATGCGAATATGAAGAGTAGGGTGTCGTCCGACAGCACACGCTCAAAGTAGTCGTACGAGTCGGACAGCTGGGAGGGCTCCACGGGGAACCGCAGCTGCACCAACGACGGCTGCAACGGACCGGGGATCGGCTGCTCCGGGTGATACACATGCTGTCGGCACACATCACATATCACATCCAACGCACACATTTATGTGAGTGAAGTTGACTGACACTGAGGTCCATGTGTGTGTCCCCCGTCCCGCCTTGTTTGTTTACCTCTGACAGTTGGTGGTGCCTCTCGTCTCCCTTGGGCGCGTCCTTCATGGAGGCCTCCAACACAGCCAATGTCTGCTGCAGCCGCTCGTGAAGGGACAATCCTGACCAGGCACACACACACATCAGATAAGACCTCTTCGTTCCATCTCACTCACCTTTGCTTCTCCGTATTCTGACGTGGGCGAGGCTTGGTATGGGCCCCTTGCCCGTCGACGCACCACCACCACCGCCGCCACCCTTTCCCCCATCGCCATCCGTCGGTTTGCTGTCCTCCCGGCCGACATCGCGCGACAGCCGTTGCGGCCGGGGGGGCGGGTAGGGCGGGGGCGGGTTGCGCACACTGGGGGGCAGCTTCTGCTGCTGAGCTGACCTGCCAACGTGGTCCACCTCACTGGGCTGCGTGCGCGCCGCTGGTGCTGGCGCATCTGCCGATTGTGTTGCATCGTTTGCCACTCGTGGTGAGGATGCCTGCACCACATGTGCCGCAGCTGGTGGGTCGGTCTTGGACTTGGGGGATGAAGAGGACGGCAGGCTGCTGGCAGAGGGGTTGAGCAGGGGGGACGATCCCGCCGCAGGTGTGGACGTGTCGGTGTCCGACACACCCATGGCGGGGCCATTGGCAGTCGACAGGGCCCGTGGGCTGGCAGTGGTGGCTGAGGGGGCCTTGGCGGCCATCGTGGGCTTGTACACCGCCTGCCGCTTCGCGCGATCCACCTGCACACACCCACGCCAGGCCAGGCAACTCACTCAGTCACTCATTGTTTCCCTCTCTGTCTTGCCGCCCCACCCAATCCCACACACGCACTTGTCCAATAGCTGCGGTAGTGGGTGGTGATGCAGCCGCCGTGGTGCCTGAGTCGCCTTCTGGTGGCTCCTTGCCGCTTGCCGCCGCCGGCTCGGCACCTCGCTTGCCCACACCGTTGGCAGTGGTGGCCGTTGTCCCGCCTCTGATTGACGGGGGCGATGCGCCCCTATCGCTTGACGGCCGCGTGCCGTTGATAGTGAGCCGGGAGACGTGGTTGGGCTGCTGCAGTCTTGACGGGGGTGTGGCGGCGACGGGTTGTGGGCCGGGGGAAGTCGCGGACGAGGCAGGAGACGTGCCATTCAGACCCTCCTGCATTGCATCAGACAGACAGACAGACAAGGGAGGGAGGTGGAATATATGGAGAAAGAAATGAATGAAGGACGGGTGTGTCTCTTTCTTTGAGGGGGGCTATGCTGTCTGTCTGTCTGTCTTTGGTGCTGGAATGGACTGTGGTGCCGCGCCGGCCTACCGGTTTTGGAGAGATCTGAGATGGTGCGATCTGACGACAGACAGACAGACAGACCGGTAAAGACGCGACAGCAAGAAACAAAGGGTGTGTGAATGACGGTCTTTGTCCGTCCAGAGCTCACTCACCTTAGCGTCATCCGCAGGCGGCGGCCTCTTGGTGCCTCCACCACAACCACCACCACCACTGGCCACTGGTGTTGCGACCGAGTGGTTGGCGTCCGAGTCGACGGCGCCCCAGCTGGACCCGCTGCCGGCCTTGGACAGAGTGGGCGCCGCCCTCTCTGCCGGTCGCTCGCGACCTGTAGCACCCTTGTCGCGATCCCTCTCCTTGTCCTTGTCTTTGTCGTGCTTGTCCTTGGCTGCTGCTGCTGCTGGTAGTGGCGATGCGGCCTTGGAGGACGACATGGGAGTCTCGGGGTGCTCCTCTGAATGCTGCTCGATACCATGCCCAGACAGGTAGGTACATGCATGTATGTGCTATGCTGTGCTGTCTTGGTGTCCCTCCCTCCCTTCGTCCGTTGCGTTGCGTACACTTGAGGAGATGAGAGAGGGCCGCTTCGCGTCGCGCTTCAGGACTGACACGCCGGGGTTGGCGCCGGGGGGCACTTCATTCATTCAACAACCGAAGGCGACACACACGACACACACGACAGCAGGCAGTGGGTCGTCTTGAGTTGACTGTTTCTGGTTACTGGTGTGTCACTTCACTTACCTGGTCTGCCCAGTTTGGCGAGCTTTGAGTTCTTTGGCGTGGGGTCGTCCTTGGCTGACAGACAGACAGACAGACAGACAGACATAGGGAGGAGGTTAATGGGATGCATGTGTGTGTGTGTGTGTGTGTGTGTGTGCCATACCAGGTTCTGATGGTTCGGGTGCGGGGCTGCCCGAGAGGCCTGAGGCATTCTCGGACTCATCGGCGTCTGCAAACATGAACACGTCACGTCAGGCTCTACCATTTCATGTGGCCGGGCCAGGCCATGGCTGTGTGTGCGAGCATAGCATACCGTCCTGCATGTCTTCCGCCCCCTCATTGAACGCGGTCAGCTGGTTCTCGTCGTACAGATCCTATTAGACCCACACACGGACACAGACAGACAGGTGGCTCGGCTCCTGTGTGTTGCCTCCTGCTTGTCTGTCTGGCTGGCTCGAGTAGCGTAGGCACCTACCTCGAGTGCTTGTTGGTATGCGATGACTTTGTCGTCGTCGATGGTGTCGTCGTCGACCTCGTCCAGCCACATGACCAAACTGTCCACGATGTTCTCAACCGCCTCCAACTACATACATGTACACCACACCCACACGTGCATCGATCGCATCAACCAACATGTCAGTCGGGTCGGTGGCTGCCTGTCCCGGACGGCTGGCTGGTTGTCCTTCCTTGTCCCACCCAATCACTCTCTCACTGACTCAACCAACCAGCTTACATCGAAGCTGTCATTGTGTATCCGCCGGACCATCTGGTCCAGCTGCACACATAACATACACACGTACAAGACACAACAAACACTCTGTGCTGTGCTGCGTGTTCAAGTGTGGCCGTAGGGAGGAAGGTGGATTCGTTGTCTGTGCGCACGTTGTGTATGTGGCCCTCGTATCGGTCGATGGTGCCCTGGAGAGCACCTAGCACATTCGCATCTGAACGAACATACCAACCACCATTTACACAAAGCACCCAGGGAGGGAGAGAGGGAGGGAGGGATAAATGACAGGGTAGTGGGTTTGTGTACCTACCTACCTGGTCCCTTCTTCTTGCCTCCCTTGCTGCTCTCCTTCTCGAGGTCGGCCTCCACCTGCTCCTTCAGAAGACTCAGCCGATGGCTCAGCTCCTCTATCTTGCTGATAGATACACACATACACACACACATGGATGGATGGACACATCATATTTGTCCCATGTGTGTGACACCCTCCCCTCACGCGATCTTGTCTTGCTTCTCGATGTCCTTCTGATCCATCTGTGGGACACACACACACACACACACACCGCACAGCCGTGCACATGCCGCCCATCCGATAGATCTGGCCACGGGCAGCTACCTTAGGTGTTTGCTCGAGTCCTTCTTTGGAGTAGGTCTTCATCTTGAAGTGCTTCTCCAGCTCACGGAAACGCTCCATCTCCTGCACACACACACACACACACACACACAAAGACACCCAGACCAACCTTGCAGACACCGCCGCGAACCCGGCGGCTCGCAGGGCCGCTCATTTCATTCATCCCCTGCCCGACCTTTTCTATTTTCTTCCTTGCTTCGAGTAGGTCGTCCTTCTTGCTGCGCGTCGAGTCCTGCTCCAGCCACTTCTTGATGTCGTCACGATGCCTGACACACGCAAATAGACAGACAGACAGACAACCGATGGATACTCTGAGGCCGTCCCTCCCTCGTGTGTCCGTGTGTGTGTATGTGGTGCATAGTCCCCTCCCTCCCTCCCTCCCTCCCTCGCTCTCCTTTGCCCACCCACCCAAATCGCTCTTTGTTTACCGCTGCAGCTTCTTGAGTTCCTGTTTGAGTTTGTTTTGGAGCGTTTCCTTGTGGTCCTGGTTGCGCGCCGCCTCCACCTTGCCCCAGGTGTCACTGAACTCCGCCAGGCCCTCGTCCACCTTCTTGAGACACACCTCTATCTCCGCAGCCTGCTTCTTCTTGGCCGCCATCACAAACACACCGAATCACTCCAAACACGGGCCACGTGCCGCCTCAGTGGCCTCCAGGCCTCAGGTATTTAATGCCGGCAGCCGACAGATGGCAGGTCGGTGCGGCCCGCCCGGCCCCTGCTTTCCTCTCACACACACGCCGACACGCCGCCAGCTCTCCACCGCCCCGGGATCTGATCCAATGGACCACACGAGACGATTTGTGTTTGTCTTGTCAAAAGAGTGACGCGTGATCCAGGAAACGGCTGGCACTCAACACAGACAGCTACACGGACAGCTGCCACCAACTGTGACTGGAGCGGAGCTTCTCCTTCAGCACCCATTTGCGAGCTTTGTGCACTTTCAGCTCGCACGAGAGAAGAAGCGGGAAGAAGTGCTTGTTGGGTGTGCTTGTGCCTGCCTACGTGGTGTTGGATCCTTGCTTCGAAGCGAAGGCGATTGACCAGGCTGCTGATGGTTGGCGAGGCGGCTGCTGAGTGAGTGAGCCTTGGTGTGGTTGAGCGTCCGATCCCGTCCGTCCATCGAGCTGAGCGAGGCAGTGGAGCGAGCGAAGTGGCGTCATCATCATCCCATCCATCATCCAGCATGAGTCGTGGTCGCAAGTTGAATGAGGACATCGACAAGACCCTCAAGAAGGTGGACGAGGGCATCGTCGAGTTCGACGACATCTGGTCCAAAGTGCACACCGCCACCAACACAGCGCAAAAGGAAAAGTACGAGGGAGACCTCAAACGAGAAATCAAAAAGCTCCAGAGGTACACACACACACACGCGCACGCGTCATGGGTGGGGTGCCTTCATTCCTTGTCGGTCTCGTGTGTGTATGTGTTGTTTGTGGTTTGCTTGATGGATTGATCACTCAATTCATCAGGCTTCGTGACCAGCTGAAGACGTGGATCAACCAGTCTGACGTCAAGGACAAGAAGCCGCTGATCGAGGCCCGCAAGCGCATCGAGACAGAGATGGAGCGGTTCAAGGTCTGCGAGAGGGAATTCAAAATGAAGGCCTTCTCAAAAGTCGGACTGCAGCAGGCAAACAAGGTGTGTCAGCCAGCCAATACTGCACCAGAGAGAGACCCAGCGAGCGGTTGACGGGGGAGGGAGGTCGCCTCATCTGATTGATGCACACACAACACAAGTTTGCGTCTGTGCGTGTGCTGAATGTCATGGTGTGCAGGTTGACCCGCACGAGGCCGAGAGGGACAAAAACCGAACGTCAGTCATTTTCCACACCCCAACACACCACACCACAACACAACACACCCCAACACAACACAGAAAACGACAGAAGGCCGGTCTTGCTGTTCGTTCGTCTGTGCATCATGTGCTCGTTCTTGTGTGTGTGTGTGTGTGTGTGTGTGTGGTCTGTGTACCATTTGGTTCTATCAGTTGGATTCAGGACAGCCTGGGCAAGCTCAATGAGCAGGTGGACGAGTACGAGGCCGAGATCGAGTCACTCGAAAGCAAAAGGGGCAAGGCCAGAGGTATAGTACACACACATCCACCCCCACCCCCACCACCCCACCCACATGGCCCCATGTGTGATGTCTCAGATCACGCTGCGATAGATGCGTTGCGGGGCCACGTCGACCGCCACCACATTCACGTACACAATGTAAGCAGCACCCGAGCCGAGTAGAGTAGGCAGCAGCGGCATACACATGTGTGCATGTGCGTGTGTGCGCGTGTGTGTGTGTGTGTTCAGTTGGAGCAGATTCTGCGGCGGCTCGAGAATGACACCATCGACGTGAGTTGAGTGCAGTCAGAGGAAACTTTCACTCACTGACCAATGAATGCACGGAAGAGCTGACTGACTGTCACTTTGTGCGTGTCTGTCCCGTGCGATCAGATGAGTTTGCTCGAGCCGCTGCGTGAGAACATCGAGTGCTACGTGCAGATGAACCAAGAGCCGGACTACTACGTCACAGACCCTCACGTACGATACGAAGGAAGCGCAGCACTCAACTCAACTGCATCGAGATCATTCTTCTGTCTGTGTGTCACGGGTGTGGTGGGCGATGCCCGGCTGCTCTCTCTGTGTGCTGTGCAGGACATGTATGAGGACTTTGACCTAGAGAACGAGCCGCTGGATTTGGACAACGAGGACGACACCGACGAAGTCGGCACTCAGAACGAATCGGCGCCATCAACACCCAAAGGTGGGCTGGGTACTCTACAGACAGACGGACACACACACAGCTAGATAGAGGAAGAGAGCAGGGAGGGCATCGACTCGACGGACGAGGGGCTTTCTCTGTGTACGTGTGTGTGTCAGTGACGGTCAAGGAGGATCCCAAGGCACTGGCACTTGGCGCAGTGGCAGCTGCCAAGGCCAAACCCGATGCTGCCAAAACATACAAAGGCACGAAACCTCCATGCGCTCATACCGCGACAGAACCTCCCATGCCCTCACCACCTTGTACTGCTCGTCTGTATGTGTGTGTGTGCAGGCATTAATCCCGGCGTGTCGGTGTTGGGCGGCAAGACAGGCCGCTCAGCCGTTCACGCAGAGGTAAGTACCTACCTAAGGACCAACAGCCCAGCCCAGCCCCCCCACTAGCTCACCCTCACCCATCCCTCCATCCCTCCACCCACATACAAGTGTTGTATGTGTGCCTGTCGGCTAGGTTGAGGACGGTGCTGCGTCGGTAGGTTCTGGTGTGGAGAGTGACGTGGCCCGCGAGCGGGCGTCGAGCGCCAGCCTCCACCCAGTCGCCCCTCCCTCTCCCGGGCCCATCTCATACGCAAACTCCGTCCAGGGCCTCAGACGCAACACCGAAGACGAATCGGTCAGCCCCCCGCCCCCCTCCACTGTCCCTTCCATCCATCCATCCATCTATCTATCCCACGTGTGCTCTGTTTCCCTGTCTGTCTGTGTGCAGTCTCTGTCGAAGAGTCTGGAGCCCAGCCCGACGGCGGCGACAGCAGCGGCCGCAGCCACGGCAGCCAACGAGGGCAGCGAGGAGAACACCTCAACCAGCAATCCGCCCAGCTCGGGCGGCGCTGGCGGGGCCGGCGAGTCGCCAAAGATACAGGAGGACAAGCTCCCACCACAGACTCAGCAGCCACAGCAGCAGCAGGGGGAGGGCGGTGCGCCGCTGGAGAATGGCGTGGCTGGCGAGCCGGACAAGAATGAGGCCGCCAAGGATACCGATGCGGAGAAGAAGGCAAGTTTGTTCGCGGCATATGTAATGCATGGAGGGAACACACGTGAAGGCTTTACCCTTTTTGTGTGTATGTTATGTGTTCAGGAGCTGGTGTCTGAGGTTGCGACGTCTGACAAGGCTGCAGCAGTGGAGGCGGCTAACCCACACCCGAAGCCCGTTTCCGAGGGGACTCCCACTGACGGGGCCAAAACACTCGACACAGCCAACACTGGGTGGGTAGAGTGGCTCAAAACACCAAACCGACATACACCACGCCACTCCCTACCATCCTTGTTTTTTTCTGTATCGTGGCAGGGAAGCGACTGGCACCGCCTCCCCCGCCACGCGTGATGCCGCCCCCCGTCTGGCCCCCGGCTCACCGCCGGCAAAAGGGGCTGCCGAGGCCGACACCATCACCACACAGCCACTGCCACAGCCACAGCCACAGCCAGGTGTGGAGAAGGCGCCCCTCCTTGAAGGGGGCGGGGGCAGCCCCGGGGACCGCAGAGGGCAGTGGCCCCTCGCACCACCGGCGGCTATTGCGGCCATGGCGGGGTCTGTTAAGACTGAGACGGGCAGCCCCACATCTGCTGGTAGGCATGGCACGGAGGGAGGGAGGGGAGAGGCAGAGGAACAGGACATGACGCATTGAGAGTTCCATGGTGTGGTGGACAGTGGCGAGTGCAGCGGCGCCTAGTGGTGCTGCTGCCGGTGGTGGTGGTGGTGGTGCTGTTGCTAGTGGTTCGGGTGGTGAGTCGGTGTTGAGCCTGCTGGAGGCCTCGTACAAGACGATACCGCTGCCCTCTGACGGAGAGCGACCCACACGGGTGCGTGAGGCGACGCGACACGGGAAGGAAGGCATTACCACAACCACCCAACGTATGCATGCCGCTGATTGTGTGCTGGTTGTTTGATGCAATCGATCGTCCACCATCAGTATCGTCCCCGTCAGCCTGTGCAGCTGCCGCCCAACTGTCCATTCCCCACGGCGCCCAGCCCGCAGTACAACTCGCCCGAGTTCTTCCAGAAACTCAACCTCGACACCCTCTTCTTCGTCTTCTACCACCAGCAGGTAGAGAGTAGGGTGCGGTCGGTGCCCATGTGTTTGTTACATATGTGTTGAGTGAGTTGATCCTTCCCTGTGTGTCTGTCTGTATGGTATGCGACCGACTTGCAGGGGACCTACCAGCAGTATCTGGCTGCTCGCGAGCTCAAGAACCAGTCGTGGAGGTGAGTGCGTGAGTGAGGCAATGAGGAGCCAGCCGTCAAAGCATCAATGCACTCACTGTGCGCGTCTCTTTGCCTGTTTGTTCAGGTTCCACACCAAGTATTCGACGTGGTTCCAGCGTCACGAGGAGCCTCGCGTCACCACACCCGAGTTCGAACACGGCACTTACGTCTACTTCGACTGGGAATGTACGCACAACACAACACAACACAACACCCCTTGACAGCACAGCACATCACATCACAGCCCACACCCACCCACCCACCCACCCACACCCCTGTATGGTGTCTGTCTGTGTTCCCTCCCTCGTGTCTGTCGATCATTCAGCCTGGACGTCGCGCATCAAGAATGAGTTCACCTTCAAGTATGAGTTCCTCGAAGACGACCTCGAGCCGAGAGCCACCTGAGCCCAACAACACCAGGCGTCACGGCGAGAGGGGGGAGGGGAGGGGAGAGGAGAGATGAATGGAGGCGTTTTCAAGAGAGGAGACGCCTTCTTGCCTGCCTGCCTGCCTGCCTGCCGACATACCTGCGTGGGTCATTTTTCTGAGGAGGGAGTGGCGGGGGGCACGGATTGGCCGACCGGGGGACCGCACTGGTTTGTCTAAGTGTGAGGAGAGAAAGCGATGGATGCAAGGCGGGCGGGTTCTTACACATTGATTGGAGTATGTAGCCGTACGTTGTTAAGGAATGAACGAATGAATGGGTGGGGTGGATGGACGAGAAACACACACGAGGGCGATTGATATATCCGTCATGCATCCCTTCCATGGGCCTTTATCGCCTCGGTAAGCTTACTTAACCTGTCTGCCTTGTACCAACGTAAGTAGCGCATGGCATGCTGCCCGCTCAATCGATGAATGCCTCTCCCTCTGTCTGTCTAAACCGTGTATGTGTTTTATCGGAGTTTCAACCTTGGCTGCCTGCGCTTGATGTCAGACAGACAGACAGACCGGCGGGCTTGCTGAGGCGATGTCGCCATGGGGTGGGTGCAGTGAGTGGGTGGCGGGGGGAAGGTCGACGACTGGCTCGTACGCTCACTGGGTGTCCATCCATCGATAATAGGCTTTTGGTGGTCAGACGAATTGATTGATTGAATGGATGACACACTGCCTCTATATCTGTCTGTCTGTCGGGCTGTCTGTCGGGCTGTCCCATAGCCAGCGCACTCTTCGTGTGTGCACGCTTCTACAGACACATAGATAGCATTGGGACCTTCGAAATGAATTATCAATGGATGCACCACAATCAGCGGCACATATCAGCGACTCCTTCCTTCCACCCGCCGCCGCGTCGCGGGTGGTAACTACGGATGCCATACATCGATGTGGCCCGGCATCAGCGGCTCCCTCGCACCCGGCAGCCGGCGAGTCTGGAAACCCCTCTCCACGCTCCCAACCTACATCACCATCACACAACACACACATCATAGTATGCCACATTAGGCACAAGACAGACATGATGGATGGATGGCGCTTTGCTCTCTTTGTCTGTCTGTCGGTCTTACGTATCTCTTGATGCGGCCGAATGGCTCGATGTCGTCGGGTATGCGGATGTATCGGATCTTGCTCTGCGAGACCGTCACGAGCTCGAGCTCCTCCACCTCGCTAACCAAATCCTCACCATCGCGCCGCTCTCGCGTCATCGTCGCATCACGCATGTGTATCCTGCACACACACACACACACACGCACAGAAGCACACAGTCGGAATATCATTCATCCTCGAGTGTCGTTTCTTAAGCACATGCAGGATTCGAAAGGCCTTTCGACGCTCTCCAAGATGCCCTCGACCACCACCTCATTCCGCAGCTCCACAATGATGCGCTCGAGCACCAGGCTCTCGAGATACAGCTGCTGCAGTGACAGCTGTCGATACCACGCCGTCGGCAGCCTCTTGCGCCAAAGCCGTCCCTTCCACCACCCGCGACGCGGCTTCTTTGTGGGCGGGGCAGCCTGATGTGCTTCTCGCGGTGATGTGTCCATCGCTGCACCGCTGTTTTTTCTCTGCGACGAGCTGTTTCACCGAGTGTCCTAGGTCGGCGAGCTTAGCTCGCAGGATCTGGCAGGTGGCAAAGAGGAGTCTTCGCGGCTTCCCGACGCGCTATCACGGTAAGCACGACACACAAGGACAGCCGCCGGCCTGATCTGCTTTGACCTTGTGTCCTGTGCTGCTGCCGTTAGGTACCTTGGTGAGCATCATCCGGTGCTGTGGGTGCGGGCTCCCTCCCTCCCCCTTCCCCTCCCCCCCTGTCAACGGCGAGCGTGTGATGGCGGTATCGCTGGCGAAGGCGCTTCGCGTGCTGTGTTGCTGCGAGGACGCCCTGCCTCACGCCGAGGTGGTGGTGCAGGGCGGCCACCTGCCCCAGGCGGCCATCACTGGCGAGGCACTGCACGAGCAACTGGGCCCGGGCGAGGTGGCCCGGCCTGGCTCAAGGGGTTTCTTCAAGGAGGAGGATGCCGGCATCGTGCGGCCGCCTTCGTCGTACGTGCCGCCACACCACCATGACCACCCGCAGTACCCCTACTACAACAACACATCCAGCACCACGGCATCGCCACACCACTCGTCGCCCTCTTTGTATGCGTCGGGCTCGTCCTTCCCGACCAACACCCCCCTGCTGACCCATACCCAGCCGCTCCCACCCCAGCACCAGAACCCGAACCACCTCCAGCACAACAGCAACAGCAGCATGCCGTCCTCCCCCCACCACCCCATCCCCGCATTCGCCAACGACAGCAGTGCGGCCGCACTCAGCCCCACCACGGCATCCTCACGCAGCCCCGAGCCGCATCACGGGATGGGCGCCGGTGTGGGCACCGTCAGCAACAACGCCTCCCCGTCGATGACGCCCGAGGAGCGGATAGCTGAGCGAGACCGGCTGCAGCGGCTGGTCAAGGAGTTCGCCAAGAAGGCCATCAAGGGCGTCCATTGCACACTGGTCGACCCCTACACGGGCGACATGGTGCCGCACGAGCTCAAGCTGGACCGCTCCATCACCATGCTCTCACTGGAGGCCCTCAACAGCGTCCCCAACACCACCGACGGCGGCCCCGCCATCCGCCGGTCCGGCGTGCGCAGGGACCGACGGCTGCTCGAGATCGACACCATCTACCGCGGCACAGAGGTCGCCCGCAAGGTGAGCGAGCCGCTCCGGGCGACAGCCACCTTCTGCGTCGGGCTCGACATGAAGGGCGGCGCCGATGGGGTGGTGGGCGACAATGGCGGTGGCGATGGTGTGGACCGTGTGATCTTCCACCTGGGCGACGGGAGGGCCCGCGAGGAGTTCTACACCACCATGAAGATCCTCCGCATGTTCGCCGAGCTCAACGCCAAGCGGCAGGCGGAGAAGGGCCAGCAGCAGCAGCAGCAGGACAAACAGGGGGAGGCCTCCGGCAGCAGCAGCAGCGCTGCCAGCATCGCCGCTGTCAGAGGCAACACACGGTAGACCCGCCAGCCGGCCAGCCGGCCAACACACAAAGGTGGCTCGGTGTGGTGTGTGGCCGGGGTAGTGGACGGGAGGAGAGGCAGGGCGGGTGGGTGGAGTGATTGACTCACTGGTTTTCCGTACGTATCCATTGTGGCCATCGTGGGTGGTGTGGGTGGTGTGGGTAAATAAATGGTTGTGTGCAGCGCAGCAGGTGG